GGCTGAATGCCGATGGGAGCATCCCAGCGGGGCCGGGAGCGGCGGGAACCCGCCGGGATGATGGATCTGTGCGCGTGTGCCTGAGGACGCTCCAGGCAGGGCTGGAGGAGCGGGATGCGCTCCTGCGAACGGGAACGTGGCGTCGGGAGAGCTTCGGGAGACGCGCTGTGTCCGTAGCGGGTGGTGACAAATGCCACCCCTCCGGGAAGGAGCCCCCGGGGCGAAGCAAATGTGCCCCTGCACAGACAGCAGAACAGCGGCGAGTGACAGGATTTGTCACCCATCCCTGGACACTCCCCAGAGCCCAGGAGCCTTCGCCCCCGGGGAGCCCTGGGCTCTCCGCTCTCCCCTGCTCGATTCCCGGTGGCGGTTCCTGGTCCGTGCCGGCTCCTGTCGCCTGACGCGAGCTGATTTTGGGAGGCAGTGGGTGGCGAGGGAGTACAGCTGCCGCTAAGTTATCCAAACGATTTATCTTAAGATTCATCCAGAATTCATGGCGCGGGAGCCTGGGCCGTGTCGGCCGTTAATATTCATGCGGATTTGGAGCAGCGTTAATCACCGGCTGACAATTGGCACTTCCCTTAATTGCCCGTGCAGCCGGCTCTGCCCGACGCCCCCCCCCGCCCTCCACCCCCACCCGTGTGGGTGCAGGGTCCCCCGTGTTGGTGGGGGGGTGCTGGAGGTGGGGACGAGGGGGAGGAGACCCCAGTTCCCTGCTCGGAGCACCCCCATCACCCTGGGGCGGGCACCTCTGCGCCCACTGCAGGGCTCAGGGGCCTGAGCATCTCCCGGGGGCTCTTCTTGTCCTCTCATGGGATACCCCAGCGTGGGGACACGGATCTGGACCCCAGAGGAGCTGTGCCCACCCTATCAACCCACCATTTACCACCGTCCCCACGGCTGGTGGAGCGTCCTCAGCACCCCGGGGTGGGCAGAGCTCGGGGCTCTGGATCCCGGAGCATCCCTGTGCCCTCAGGGCATATCCCTGCGGCGGGACAGGGATCAGGACCCCGGCAGAGCGGTGCCCTCGCTGCCAAGCCGCCGGCTGTCGCCGGGCCCGTGGCTGGCGTTACCTGTCACCGCTGTCACTCCGCTCCCATCCCGCCAGCTGCCACCGCGCGGGGATGGAATAACAATGAGGATCCGGGAGCTGCAGCCTCACGGGGCCCCCTCACCGAACAGCACGGCGGGGACCCCCGGGGCTGGGGGACAAGGTGTGCCAGGCACAGGGGTGGCAGCTGCCCCCAGAGAGGCCCTGAGACCCCTCCAGCTTGTGACATCCAGCGAGGTGGGATCCTCCTGGCAGGATCCATGAGGGGGATCCATGGTTTCATGCCCCATCTGAGGCCACTTCCATCCCCTTGGGATGGGCCATGCACCCCAAAACCAGCATCAGGAAGGAGCCCCGGGGCAGCATGTGGGGCTGGGACCCTCCAACCCCATCCATCCCCCTACAGCGCCAAAATAATCCCCCAAAAAATCCCTAAACCCTCCCAACCCCCTCCCAAACCCCAGTCCTCCCTCTCGCCGAGGAGGCTCTGGGCAGGTTTCAGCTGTCCCCGCGCTGTAATTGTCCTAATTAGATCGACAGATTTTGATGAAGGTTTCACAAGGAAAAAAGCGAGCGGGGAGGCAGGAGGAGATAATGGAATCGCAGATGACATTCCCATCACCCAGCCTCTCCCACAGCCGCCGCTGCAGCCCGGTCGGAAAATTATGCGTGAGGGGGGAGGAAAATTACCATAATCTTCCTCTGCAGGATGAGACCAAATTCGGCAGGAGCGGAGAAGGGGGACAGGACCTGCTCTGTCCTCGCCCCGGCGGTGCCACCACTGGTGTCACCCATCAGTGTCACACCTGCCTGCTCTGTGTCCTGTGGTCACCAGCACCCACCGGGGCCCTGGTCTGGGGCCCCTGGGTCTGCCCACCCCCCTCCTTGCAGCACCCATGTGGGGGGGTCTCCCTGCACCCCCCTCAGCCCCTGGGGGTGTGGGGCTGATGTCACCCCTGGATCACTAATGGTGATCCCCCGTGGGTTTGGGGACATCGGGGGGACACAGGAGGGACACATGGGGACAGGACACGACAGGACACTTCACATGCTGCCCAGTGCCCCCAGCCAGGGCACATCCCCTTTGAGAGGCAGAGGGGGGAACACTGGGGTGCCACCCCCCAGCTCCAGCCTCTCCCAGCCCCCCAAAACAGCTGGAGGCAAAGTGGGAGCCACTCCCCATCCGGATGCTGCTCCTGGCTCCCACGTGGATGCCCTGCCCGGGCAGGATCCGGCCCAACCCATCCCTAATTACAAAATATACCCATATTCCACAGCTTCAAACGGTGCCCAATGCCTGTGGGGAAACTTCCAGCCCCTTTCTCCCCCTTTTCCCTGCTCTGGCCACACCACGATGCCAGGACTGAACTCAACTCCCCCCAGCCCCCTGTCCCCTCCCTCCCCAAATTTGCTCCCTCCTTTGCAGGGCATTTCCATGAAAACAGGCGCTTTGTTTCTCAGGATTTGCTCTGCCCGTCCCCCCCACCCCAACCCAGCCTGTGCCTGCCTTTGTCCTCCACAAACACGGAACAAAAGGGGGAGAGATGGAGAAAATATGACCGAGGCTCCAAATGGCCCCCAAATTGCCCATGGAGCTCCGGATGCTCCGAAGGAGCCTGGCTGATGGATGAGGAGCTGCACGAGGAGAGGATGGATCAGCTCCCAGCAGCGCTGCCAGGGCCCTTCCTGGGAATCTGGGAGAGGAAATTGAGAGTGAAAGGGGAAAAAGAAGGAAATAGGGAGGGACTGGGGAGAGATTCCTGTCGCTGGTAAGGATGAATGCTCCTGGCACGTGGCACTGGTGTGGTGGATTGGGTTATCCACCTTTCTCCTCTGCACCAGCAGGGGAAATTCCAGTAAATGGGGGGAGAATCAATCCCTGCTGCTGTTGGACAGGGAATCTCTGGTGAACGTGCCCTGTCGTGTCTCCTGTTCCCTCTGCCAGCTCCCACCTCTCCCACAGTTCCTTCCAGCACGAGCACCGTGCAGAGGGACCCGGGCAGAGCAAACCAGGGGCTGGGAGGTGGCAGCGGTGCCACCGCCGTGCCACCACGCTGGGACTGGTGTGGGGACATCCTGCTCCCTGGGCACGCGTTGGGAGGAATTTGGAAGGAATTTCTCCCTGGAAAGGGTGGTCAGGCCTTGGCAGGGGCTGCCCAGGGGGTTTTGGAGTGCCCAGCCCTGGAGATGTCCAGGGAAGGCCTGGCCGTGGCACTCAGTGCTCTGGGCTGGGGGACAAGGTGGGGATGGGGCACAGGGGGACTGGATGGTTTTGGAGGGCTTTTCCATGGGCTTCCAGCTCCCGGAGCCTTTGGAGCTGCTGGAGGAGGAGGAGGAGGAGGAATAAGAAGAGAAGGAGGAGGAGGAGAAGGAGGAAGAGGGCTCCTCACTGACCTGGTCCCCAGGCCGCACACCAAGGTGCCATGAGCCCCCCACCCCACGGGGTTCAGCACCCCCCGATGCAGTCACGGCGCTTCCCGAGCGGAATCGGGAGGATTTTCCAACATAAACCCAGCAGCTGGAGGGTGAATTAAGGCCGTTAATTGAATTTCCTCCGGCGGCAGAGCCGGGGCCGGTGGGAGGCGGCAGGAAAAGCATTTGATGTGTCGGAAAAAGCTGCGGATTCCGAGTGTGGTGGGGTTTGGGCTTGGTGGTGCCTTTTTTTTTCTTTTTTAATCTTTTTTTTATTAATTTCTTTTTTTAATTTCAAGTCGGTCATGAGAAGAGCCCCACTTGGAGCAGCTGATGACTCTCATGAATTATTGCTGTTGATTTATTGGTTTAGGCACCCGCTCGGCTCTTCAGTGCTACTGAGAAGGGATTCTGTTCCCAGGGAGTGCTGCTGTTTGGGGGTGCAGAGGGTGGGGGCACAGTCACCCCCCTGACCTTCTGATGGCAGTGCCACAGTGCATTTTGGGAGAGAGAGATGGGTTCCATGGGCTCCCTGGAAGTGGATCAGGAACTGGTTGGATGGCTGTGAACACCAGGGACCAGAGGTGGCCCTTGGAGGGCCCTACTGGGACCAGTGTTGTTTAATACCTTCATTAATGACGTAGAAGAAGGGATCACAGAATCATGGAATGGTTTGGGTTTGGTTTCCACCAGCCCAGGGTGCTCCAAGCCCCGTCCAACCTGGCCTTGGACACTTGCAGGGATGGGGCAGCCACAGCTTCTCTGGGAAGTGATTTTGGGGCTGCCAGTGCCTCCCCCTTCCCCAGCCCGGCATCAGCATTCAGCTCTGGTGCCAAAACGGGCGCTTTTCATGCCAGTTTAGTTTTATTATTACACCAAAAGCTCCAGTTCTCAGCTGTCTCCTCCCGGCGCCGCTGATTTACTCCACGAGGGGTTTAATTACCCCATTCAGCCTTCCTTAAAACATGAAAAACCGCTCGAGTTCGGGAGCAATTAAAAGGCAGCGGAGTAGATCAGCCCGTCAGAGAGGAGAGAAGTAAATCAAACAATTAAAAAGCTCGTTTGGCGCAGAGGGAGAAGGGTCCCACACCAGAAGCCTCCCCTGGGTGGGAGCCCTGGGGTGGGAGCTGTGGGTTTCCTCCCAGTCACTGGGCTTGGGGTGGTACTGGGAGCAACTGGGGGGCTTGTCACTGTGTGGGAAGTGCTCTGGGATGCAGGGGAGTGGGGGCAGACACTGCTGACCCCACCCAGCCCCCCTTGGGATCATCCCAGCGCCCCCAAATACTGGTCCAGCCCCACTTAGGGCTTGGCAGGGGACGGGGATGGGGGCGCAGGGCCAGGATGGGGTCACTCGCCCCCGCCACCCACCGCCAAGATTCCTGCAGGGGTTTTGGGGCGGGTTTGGGGTTTAGGGGTGGGTTTGGGCTTTGAGCGGGGCTGAAGCTCTCTCTTGTGGCAAGACTGGTCCATTACAGCCCTGCTCGAATCATCGAGCCCCAGCATCTCGGGGAGGTTGGGGGGGGGGGGGCTTGGCACAGGAATAAGGTGGAATCGTAGATGGATCATCCCCCGCGAGAGATGAGGCTGAGGAAACTGAGGCTCGGGGAACTGCGACCAGCCCGCGCGCTGATAGCCTTGCTCCACCTTCCCAGCAGTGCACGGGTGGATCGGGGACGCTGGAAGAGCCCATCGTTCCCTTCACACCGCGCTCTGCCCATCGTGGGGGGGAAGCTGAGCCCGCGCCAACTCATCGCACGTCCCGCCATGGCCCGCACGGTCGCGATCGGGAGCAGTTTGTGCCCCCGCGCGCGCCGTAGGGGATATAGTGCCCGGGTGCGGAAGCGCGGCGGGCACTTCCTGCTTGTGGCGGCGGCCGAGGGTGCGATGGCGGCGCGGGCCGGGCGGGCGATCCGCGGCCATCAGGGCCGGGGGCCGGGGGAGCACCGCGGGGGCACGGGGGCAGCGCGGGGGGCGGGGGCGCCGGGGGCTCGATGTTGGGCGGGCGGGGCGGGGCTGCGCTGACGCCATTTCCGGGTCCCTGTGCCGCAGGTTGGAGCGACCGAGGCGCTGGGACCATGGTGAGGAGGGGACGGCGGGCAGGGGGCTCCTGGGGGTGCGGGGGGATGCCCCTGGGGTCCTGGGCCTGTCTGTGCTCGGGGTGGGGGCTCTGGTTTGCCGGTGTCGGTCACGGTGCAGAAGGGGGATCCCCAGGGCTGAGGGGTCTCGTCTGGCCCCAGACAGTGCAGATGGGGCACAGGTCCTTCCCTGGGGGGAGGGAGGGGGTCTCTTGTCCCATCTCGGGCAGGGTGTGGGGTAAGGGGAGTCTTTGGGGTTAATGGGGATCCTGGGGGGATTCCATGGGGGATCCTGGGGGGGATTCCATGGGGGATCCTGGGGGGACTCCATGGGGGTCCTGGGGAGGAGGGGGAATTCCATGGGGGGTCCGGGGATTCCATGGGGGGATTCTATGGGGGATCCTGGGGGGACTCCATGGGAGGTCCGGGGGGAGGGGAATTCCATGGGGGGTCCTGGGGGTCAGCGCAGCCAGAGCGTGAGCTGGGGATGAGCTCTGGGCTGGGAACACCCCTGGGGTGTGCAAGGGTAGGGTGGACCAGCCTGGCACAGTGGAAGGTGTCCCTGCCCGTGGCAGGGGATGGTGCTGGGTGGGTTTCAGGCTCCTTCCCACCCCCCCATGCCATGATCCCATGATCTCATGAGTCTCCCTGCCCTCCCAGCCTCGCAAGATTGAGGAGATCAAGGACTTCCTGCTGACAGCACGGAGGAAGGATGCCAAGTGTGAGTGGGGGTCCCTGGCACGGTCCAGCACAGGTCCCTGTGGACACTGAGCAGCTCCTGGGCTCGGGAGCACCGAGGGACGAGAGCTGGGGGTCTGGGGGTGACTCAGAGTGGCTTTGGCTCCGTGTGGACCGAGGTGACCCCTGTGAGCAGAGGGGCTGGGGGTCCAGGGGGTCCCTCACGGTGTTCCCACTGCTCCTCGCCCCAGGTGCAGCTCCCTGGGGCCATTCCCAAAGCACCCCCTGCTCTGCAGAGCCCTGGGCTGTCAGGGAGCTCTGTCACCACACGGGGGGATTCATCCCCGGGTCGAGAGTTCTGCTGCCAACACAAAGTGACAACAATTGCAACACCACTGTTTAACAGCCCCTGGGGAGTGCTGCCTCTTCTCTGGCTGGTTTGGATGGGGTGTCACGGATCCCTCGGGAATGTTTTGTTACTCGGGGTGTGGGCAGGAGGGAGAGCTGAGCGCTGGGGGAGCAGCACTGAGCTCCTCCGGCCATTCTGCCCCTGGAGGGCTCTGCTGGAGGATTGGGGTCCCCTGGGGTGACACTGGGGTGTCCCTGCCCTGCCCCTACAGCCGTGAAGATCAAGAAGAACAAGGACAATGTGAAGTTCAAGGTGCGCTGCAGTCGGTACCTCTACACCCTGGTCATCACCGACAAGGAGAAGGCCGAGAAGCTGAAGCAGTCCCTGCCCCCAGGTATCCCAGGGGCACTGGGGGGGTGGCTGGGATTGAGGGGAGCAGCAAGACTCACCCTTCGGGGGTGTCCTCGTGGAGCTCCGCTGTCCCTGAACTGGTGCCACCACCCTTGCCTGGGTCAGGGCTTGGCATTCCTGGGGAGTTGGAGGGCTCTGAGCCCCCTGATCCCAAAGGAGACAGAGGGCTCCAGACACCCCTTCCCTGGGTGGTCCCAGTGGAGACAGGGGGCTCCCAGCACCTCCTCTTTGCACAGCTGAGCCCTCTAACCCATGTCCTCTCTCCTGCCCAGGTCTGGCCGTGAAGGAGCTGAAATGAGCCGGGATGAGTTGTTCCCCTGTCGGATTCTCCATGTTTGTTACAATAAATAAAACACTGTTCTGGTGTCACCTCTGGGGTTCCCACCTTGCTGTGCCTCTGTTGGGGGTCCCAGGGCCGCTTTCAGGAGGTGGGGGGAAACCCGGACTGTTTCTTTCCCAGAGTGGGGAATGGGGAAAGGCTGGACTGGATCCGGCATGTCCATGCCCTGTGGCCAGGCCCCCACAGCGCCCTTGGCAGGAGGTGACAGCGTGGGGTCCCCCACAGCAGGGAGGGGTCGTGCTGGGCTGCAGTGACCCCATGGTGGGCAGGCAGCTTTGGGTTGTGCTGCCCCCACAGCAGAGGGGGATGGGGTGCGGTGCCCCCCTGTGCCAGTGAGGAGTGGGCAGTGGTGCCCCCACAATGGGGCAGGATCGGGTGTAGTGCCGCCCCATAGCAGGGAGGGGTTCCCCTATAGCGGGGGGTGCCGGGGTGCGCTGGGGTCGGGCTCGGGGACACTGGGGACTGTCGCCGCTCCGCCATCCCGGGGGCGGGTCCGGCGGGGCGTGGTCGGTGGGTGGTGCCGAGGCGTGGTCGGGGGGCGTGCCGAGGGCGCGTCGTGTGCGGGGCGGGCGGGCAGAGCCCGCGGCGTGGCGGCCCGCCGCCCCCGCCCGCCACCCGCGCCCCCGCGCCCCCGGCCCGCCATGGGGCCCGCCCGCGCCGATTACCTGGCACCGTGGTGGGCGGCCTGGCTGCACGGGCTCCCGCACCGCGGCCCGCGCCTGCAGCCCGTGCCCTCCGCCTTCCGCCCGCAGGACCCCGACTACCAGCAGGTACCGCGCCGGGACCCCCGCCCCGCGCCCCCGCTCGCCCTGCGCTCCCCCCGCTCCGCTGGCCCCGGCGGCGCCCGGCGCCGGCTCTGATCGCACGGCGCACAAAGCGCCTTTCATGGCCCGGCCCCCCCGCCGGGACAGCCCGCACCGGCACCCCCGGCCCCGGGGGGGGCACAGGGTCACCCCCGCCTGTGCCCCTGCCGAGCCCCTGCCCCGCGCTCCTGGCGCCCACCGCGCCGGCCGGGACCGCAGGGACCCCGAAATGAGGCGGGGGGGGCAGCGCCGGCGTCCCGGTGCCCCAACGCCCCCACAAGGGGCGGCTGCACCCCCAGCACCCCGGCCTGCGGCTTGGTGGCCCCGCGTGGGGATGGGGATGGGAACGGGGACAGGGACAGGGACACTTCCTCTTCCCCTCGTGACAGTCCCATGGGGCGCTGGACGCGGCCGCATCCCGGGCACACGTGCGGGTCACGGGCACGGGCGCTGACTGTCCCCTCTTCTCCTTCCCAGTCGCTGCTCTTCCTGGGCTTGGTGGCCGCCGTGTGCCTCGGCCTCAACCTCCTCTTCCTCACCATCTACCTGATCTGCCTGTGCTGCTGCAAGAGGGACCAGGACCCCGACTCCAAGCAGCCCCACTCCTGCTGCGTCACCTGGATGGCCGTCACCGCCGGGCTCATCTGCTGGTGAGGACGGGGACGGGGACCCAGTGCTGTCCCCCATCACCGAGGGGACTCTGCGCCCCAGCCACGAGTCGCTTTAATTAGATCTGTGCAATTAAATGTGGTCCATCCCAGCCTCCTCCCGTGCAGCTGCCGGGCAGCCCCAGGGACCAGCTGCGGGCCAGCCCCGTCCCCTCACGCTGTGCCGCCTTCCCGGCTAATCCCGGGCGGGAGCGGGGCCGGTCGCTAATCCCAGCCCGGAGCAGATGGCGGATGGCAGCCTGACCCAGCTGGCAGGTCCCGTGTGCCCGGCCTTAACTGCGACCACAGCAATCAGACAAGGGGACACTTCTTCTCTCAGCACCGCTCCACAGGCTTTCCGAGCCCACCCCAGTTTGGGGCAGGCCCTGGCCAGGAGGACTGCCCAGCAGCCATCCCGTGCCCCCCTGGGCACTCCTGGCCTGGGGGGGGACAGGAGGGGCCATGGGGGCTGTTTGGCTGCCCGGCCACGACCCTCTCTGCAGACAAAGGGGCTGGTTTGCCGGGCGGGGCGAGATGGCTGCCATGGAGCAGGGAAACAGGGGAATGGGGAAACGGCTCTAATGAGCTCAGCACGCTCCCCCCTCACTCCCCTTCCGTGGCAGGGGGGTCTCTCTGCAGCTCCCGGGGGCTTTCGAACCCCCCCAACAGCCTGTTGGTGGCCGTTAAGGGGCTAATGATGGCCAATTGGCTGGTGTCTGCACAGGGAGGGAGCAGCCCTGCATAAGCCAGCCATGTGTGGGCATGTGCCCAGCCAGGACATGGCCAGGGGTACCCCCTTCCTTGGGTCCAGCTGTGACTTTCAGCCCAGCTCCGTTTGGGAACACCGAAGGGGCCGTGGAGAGCTTGCCTGGGGGCCTGGAGCAGCCTCCATGTGCTCCCAGCAGGTTTAATCAGGAAGCATGGCGCTTCCAGCAGATTCCCTAACCTGCTTGGCCCAGCCCCTCCACCTCAGTCTCCCAGGGTTTGGCAGCAGGAGCTTCAGCACCAACGTGTGCCTGTGGAGCAGCTCCGGGTGTCCCCGGGCACCGCCAGGAGCAGGTCCCTGTGCCGCCCCTTTGGCTCTGCCCCGCCATGGCTGAGGGGTCCCCCAAACCCGGGATGCTCCAGGGATTGTCCCCTGTCCAGCTGGTGTCCCAGGGTGAGTCTGTGCTCAGCCTGTCCCTCCCCTCTAACCACATCCCCCCCTGCCCCCAGCGCTGCTGTCGGCATCGGCTTCTACGGGAACAGCGAGACCAACGATGGGGTGTTCCAGCTGCTCTACGCCCTGGACCACGCCAACCAGACCCTCACCGGCATCGACTCGCTGGTAGGACCACGGGCAGGGTCCCCCAGTGGGGACAATCCCATCCTGGGTTTGGTTGGAGCACTGGGGAGGGAGCTTGAGGGATGTCTGGCTGCTCCAGCCAAGCCCCCGGGGCAGCCGTGCTGTGCTGAGCGCGGGAGGGTGACGTCACCCCCCAGAATGGGACCTTTGTGGCAGAGTGGGAAGGGCTGGGGAGGCCATGGCAGGGCTGTCCTGGAGAATGGATTCATCTTGGGCTTTGCGTGGGGGCTTGAGGTGGGGCTGCTCTCCTGGAGGAAAAGCATCCCATGGATGGGGCAAAATGACTCCTCCAGGTGTGCAGCTGATGGCAGGGAAGCCCTGCGTGGTGTCCTGGGGGGATGATTATCCCGGGGGTCTGACCATGCCACCTCTGCCAGGTTGCAGGCACCACGCTGCAGATGCAGGGGGGGCTGGAGCAGCACCTGGCGCGGCTGAACGAGGTGCTGGCCCCGCGGGGGGATTACGTGCAGACCCTCAAGCTGGTGGAGCAGCTGGCCGGGAGCATCGTCCTGCAGCTGCAGGGGCTGCCGGGCTGGGGGGGCGTCAGCGCCGACCTCACCGCGCTGTCGGCGCACGTCGCCTTCGTGGAGTATTATCGGTGAGCGGGGCCTCAGCGCCGCGTGGGGGGCGGCCCCGGCAGGGCTGGGGGGTGGGCGCGGGTGATGGACCTTCCTCTGTGCCCAGGTGGCTGGCCTACCTCCTCTTCTTCATCCTCGTCCTCACCGTCTGCCTGCTGGCCTGTCTGGGGCTGGCCAAGCGCTCCCGCTGCCTCCTGGCCACGTGAGTACCCTGTGGGTGGGACTGGGGGGCTGAGGGGGGTTGGGGTGGGCCCCACACACACACGTGCTCCCTCCTCGTGCTCCCCGCTCTCCACGCAGGATGTTGTGCTGTGGGCTGCTGACCCTCGTCCTCAGCTGGGCCTCCATGGCCGTGGACACGATGGCAGCGGTGGTGAGTGGGGCAGGAGGGGAGGGCAGGGCTGATTCTGGCTGTGCCAAAGGCTGCCGAGCACCGTCCTGTCCCTCCCGTCCCTCGATGTCCCTCTGGTCCCCACAGGGCACCAGCGACTTCTGCGTGGCCCCAGACAAGTTCATCCTGAACCAGACAGATGACGAGATCAGTGCAGGTCAGAGCCAGCTCCCAGGTGGAGCCACACTGGGGCAGGACCCCAAAACCTGCCCGGGGGTCCAGTGCCCCCCTGTGCCATTCTCCCCCCACACTGCTCCCTGTCCCCCGGGACGCTCCTACCAATGTGTCCCCTTGGCTTTGCAGCGGTGGCTCACTATTACCTGTACTGTGACCAGAGCCTGAGCAACCCCTTCCAGCAGGTACAGGGGGACCAGGCACCCTGCTTGGGGCTGCCTGGGGCGGGGGGGGGGTCCCAGAGCTGAGGGGGTCCCAGGGCTGGGGGGTCTGTGACTGTTCCTGCTCCCCCTCGCAGGTTCTCACCGTCTTCCAGCGCTCACTCACCACGATGCAGATCCAGACCCAGGGTCTCATCCAGTATGCACTGCCCCTCTTCCCCACAGCAGAGGTATGGGAGGAGGTGCTGGGGCTTCACCTGTCCCCACCCTGCTCCCCAGCGCTGTCCTGACCCCCTCTTTTCACACAGCAAGACCTGCTGGGGGTCCAGCAGCTCCTCAACTCCTCAGAGACCAGCCTACATCAGCTGACAGCCCTGCTGGACTGCCGGGGGCTGCACAAGGTGAGGGGGGTCTGGGTGGGGGCACAGCTCTGGGGTCCCCTGCTCTGCCACCAACCCTGCCTGTGTCCCACCAGGACTACCTGGACGCCCTCATCGGGATCTGCTACGATGGGGTGGAGGGGCTGCTCTACCTGGGGCTCTTCTCCCTGCTGGCGGCCGCCTCCTTCTCCACCATCATCTGCGCTGCCCCCCGCGCGTGGAAGCAGCTCACAGGACGGTGGGTCTGCCCACGGGCCCCTGCCCACATCCCCCACACCTGCAGACCCCTCACCTGCCCACGTCCCCCACCCCGTGCAGCCCCCCTGCCCATAACTCCTGCCCCCGCAGCCCTCCTGCTCACAGCCCCTCTGCCTGTGGTCCCCTGTGTGCCCCCTGTCCCCCAGACCCCCTGCCCACGGTCCCGCACGTGCAGCCCCTTGTGCAGCCCCACTGCCCGCAGCTCCTTCCCCCACAACCCCCACATCCCCCTGCCCTCACCGTGGGCACAGACGGGCCATGTGCACCTCCCAGTGTGGGCATGAGGCCCCCCCCGACTTTGACCCCAAGTGTGATCCCCGTCCCCTCGTCCCCAGGGACCGGGACTACGACGACATGGACGAGGAGGACCCGTTCAACCCGCAGGCGCGGCGCATGGCCGCCCACCGCCCGCCCCGGGGGCAGCTCCGCAGCTTCTGCAGCTACAGCAGCAGCCTGGGCAGCCAGAGCAGCCTCCACCCGCCCGCCCAGACCGTGTCCAACGCCCCCGTCTCCGAGTACATGTGAGCTGCCCCCTGCCCGTCCTTCCCTGGGTCCCCCCGCCGTGCCGGGGCAGGGGCTGACGGGGGTCTCGCTGTGCCCCCCAGGAACCAGGCCGTGCTCTTCGGAGGGAACCCGCGCTACGAGAACGTGCCCCTCATCGGCAGGGGGTCTCCCCCCCCCACGGTACGGTGGGCAACCGAGGCCAAGTCCTTCTTGTGACACCCCCGGGGGGGTCCCCGGGGCGTGGAGCCCCTCGGGGTCACCGGGAGCTGCTCGCTGGGGCGGGACAGGGGCGGGTGCTCCTGGCCCCTCCTGCCCTTGGCTCTAACCCAATTCCCGGCCGGCCCGCAGGGGCGGTGGGGAGGGGGCACAGCCACGAGCTCGGGGCAGCCCAAAATAGCCCTGCCTTCCCTCCCTTCCCCGTGTTCCCTCTCCATCCTGACTTTCAGAGGACGCTCCTGGCAGTGTCTCCCTGCCCGTTCCCATTTCCGTGCTCGTTGTTAATCTCTTGCCTGTCTGGTATTTGCTGCTTTATTTTTTATATTGCTTGTCTTTTTTTTTTTTTTTTTTTTTCCCTATGGTTTCTTTTAATTTTTGCATCCATTATTTTGGAGCTAAGTTGCCCATCAAGAGTAAGTTCAGCCGCTTCCCTCTCCCTCCTTATCCCAGGGCAGCAGCCGGTTTCCCCCATCCTCCCCCTCTTCTGTGCCTCCCTCCATCCCTTTTCCCTGATTGGATTTCAGGAAGAGTGTGGAAAGCTTGGGGAGGGAGGGACTGGGCTGCAATTTTTCCCCAGGAAGTTCCAGGAGGATTTGCAGCTCCCACACCTTGGGATCCTGGCCCCCATCTCCATCCCCAAAGCTCCCCAGGTCAGGCAGTGGGACATGGACACAGTTCTGGGAATGCTGCCGTGGCAGCAGTGCTGTGCTCCCCTCTTCCAGGCATGATTTTTTCCATCAGGTGTAATCCCATTGCACAGACCTGGCAGCTGGAAAGAGCCTCTTCCTAGAGGGGGCACATGAGGGGGGATTAATTCGAGCACTTCTCCCAGCTCCCAGCCCTGAATGAATTTACCCAGGATTCAGATCCCTGAGGAAGGACTTTCCGAGCCCAGAGGAACAAACTCGGAATAATCTTCCTTAGTGCCTGGTTGGGGCGATCCTTCCTGCTGTGAAATCCTGAAGAAATGAGATTTTGAGAGGCTGGAGTTTTGGGGCCCTGCCCTGGACTTGCTATTACCCCATGGAATTGTACACATGGAGTGATTTGGGATGAATTTGCTGCTGGGCTGGAGCTGGGAAGGTGGAGGATGAACCTGGAAAGGGACAAAGCAGAGCAAAGCAGGGCTTTTGCTGCAGTTAATAGCAGGTCTTGGGTGGTTTCAGCCTCTTTTTGGTAATTTGGCTCCCCAGGACAGGTGTGGGCTGGGGCAGGGACAGCCCTGGGGTGGCCACGAATCCCCTGGAAGAGGATTAGGGATAACTGGGGCATCCCTGGGGTGGGATGTGGTGCCCAGGGAGGGGGGACAGCGTGGACCTGCCAACCTTGGGGGCTCAGGCAGCATTTCCAGGGCTTCAGGCTGAGGAGGTCTCATCTCCCCCAGCCCCCAGCCAGGCTGTGAGCAGGGTCTGCACCTCTCCCCATGCCCACCTGGCAGGTTAATGAGGGATCGAGCCTCGTGGCCAGCAGTGCTCCCTCTCCATGGGGCCATCCCTGGCGCTGCAGGGGTTGTGTCCCGGTGTCCTGGGGGGGTGTGCTGACCCCTCTGTGTCCCCCCCATCCCACAGTACTCCCCGAGCATGAGGGCCACGTACCTGAGTGTCACCGAGGAGCACGTCCGGCACCGCGGCGACTTCCCGGCCTAGGAGGGGACACCGCCCGCGTTTCCCTCGGGAAACCAAAGAGCCCCGGAGAGCACGCGGGAGGAGACACGGCGGGGGAGGAGGAACGAGCCCCCCGGGCACCCCCCTGGCAGCTCCTGGGCCTCCACTCGTCCTGCCTTATCCCAGGGGCCGCGGGGATGCTGCTCCAGCGCCGGCTCCTCCCGGCCCGGGAATGTCGGAGCCTTTCGGAGGGCGAACCCCGGGACCCCCCGGGGAGGGGTCCAGGCAGGGGCTCCCGTAGCAATGCAGCACCAACCACTAGTGATCCCAACCTTTCCCCATCCCCCCTTGCCCGGCTGCTCCCCGAGGGCAGATCCAGCCCCCTGTGCCCCTCTTCCCGCCCCCCAGGCTGGGGAATTCCGGATGTTTTGGCCTTGCTGGCTTTCCTTTGCTTTGCCCCCTGGGATGTGGGAGCTCTTGGGAGCGTGGGCTGACTCGCTGGCTCTGTTCCAGAGGGGGTTTTCTGCAGTGTAGTTTGGTAGCAGGGTTTTTTTGTGTGGTTTTAGGCTCTTGTTGGTGATTTGGCTCCCCAGGGCGCGTGTGGGATATGGGGCAGGATCCCCTTCTCCTGCAGGATAGCCCTGGGGCAGTCAGGAATCCCCTGGGAGAGGGTGAGGGACTAGTGGGGCTTCCCTGGGGTGGGATGGAGTGCCTGGGGAGGGGACAGTGTGGACCTGCCACCCTGGGGGTGCTCATCCAGCATTCCCAGGGCTCCAGGCAGAGGAGCTGGGAGCTGAATGGATCCTTTGGGGCTGCCCTTTGGCACAGTGATCCCCAGGAAGCCTTTCCCCATGGAGCAGGGATGGACCCCCTGCTCTATCCCCCCCCAGACCCCGCAGCCCAAAAGGTGGTGGGTGCCCCCCACCCAGGATCAGTACATCCCCCTGCCTCCCTCTCTCCACGTTCCCTGTGACTAGCATCCCTCCCTTTTGGGGGAAATCCCAAGGGATTTTGTTATTATTTTTATTTTTTTGGCTTTTAACATTTCCATATAACGGTACTGGTAGAAGAGCTGTTGTTAACCGCATGTGAACTAACCGAAGGACTCGGGCTGGGAGCTGGAGTCCGGCTGGATTTGTATGTGCCCTTTTGGGAGAAAAGATAATAAACACTTGGACTAAATTTCTCTTCTCTACGACGTTTTTTGGGGTTTTTTTTGGATAGTCTGTTTGGGGCACCTTTTATTTGCCCTCCCCAACATGGCGGCCGTCACGTGACACCGGCGGGCGCCGCCATTTCGGGGAGGTGTGTCTGCCGCCGGTGTCACGTGACGGCAGCGCCGGTGTCACGTGGGGTGGTCAAGGCGTTGCCTGGCAACGGCGACGCGTCCCCGGTCAGGCCCGACCGGGACGGGCCCCACGGGGGTCCCGGGACCTCCGGGGTGTTCCTTTAACAGTCAGAGCTCTTCATCCCTCTGTCCCTGGGGCTCGGCTCCATTTTGGGGCTCCTGCTGCATTTTTGGGATCTCCCTTAAGCCCCCAGGCCCTCTCAGGGTACTCCCTCCCCAGGCTCCCCGCTCACATTTGGGGTTTCCCAAGGTTTCCATTTTCTCTTTGGCACCTTCTCTAATCCCTCCTGGTGCTCCCTGAATTTTCCACTCCCTTCTGTGACCATCTCTCCCTCCCTGACAACTTCATTCCCTTTCAGGTTCCCACTCTCCTTTTGGGACCCTCTCTTTCTCCCTGAAGTTCCTGCTGTCTTTTGGGGCTCTCCCTCCACCCCTGAGGCCCCTGTTCCCTTGAAGGGTTCCCCAAGGACCCCACTCCCTCTCAGAGCTCTCCATCCCTGAGGCTTACAAATCTTTCAGGGGCTCTCTTTTGGGACCCTCCCTCCCCAAGCCTCCCACTCCTTTTTGGGTCTCTGTGTCCCTCCCCAGCCTCCCCATTCGTTCCCAAGTGCCCCCCAGCATGGAGATCAGGTTTGAGTACACTCGGAAGCGCAGTGACTTCGGGCGGCCCTGCAACTTCTCGGACCTGCCGGCCGAGGTGACCGTGGACATCCCGCCGGACCCCAGCCTGGCCCAGGACTTCATCCCCCAGGACCCCGTGGACTTTGCCCTGCAGCACGGGCCCATCATGGCCCTGCACGAGGTACGGGGGCACCACCCTGGGGGGCTCGGGGCTGTGTCTGGCACCCTCTGGGCTCAGGGGCTCCGTGTCGCCCTGCCCAGGTGAACACGGAGCGGGTGCAGGTGACATCCCAGGGCGTCAACCACGTGGAGGGCGGGTGGCCCAAGCACGTCGACCCCCGGAACACGGAAATGACCTCCCGCTACAGGGAGGAGGTGGAGAGGGAGGAGATCTACACCAGAGCCATCCTGCGCCTTGGCACCGTAAGGCCCTGCCCCTGCTCCCCCCAAAACCCCCTGAGCTCCCAGAGCCCCCAGAGACACATCCTGTGCTGTCCCTGCAGCTGATGGAGCACTTCATCAGGCAGAACAATTCCATCGACATCTACGAGGAATATTTTGCGGAGGACGAGGAGGAAGAGCGGGACGAGGAGCCTCCCTCTGCCAAAACCAATCAATGTCCTCAGGTAGCACAGCCAGGGGGGCTCACCAGGCTCCCCAGGGCCACAGTGGGGTCAAACCACCTTCAAAGCTTTAGGAGCTAAATTCCACTGTGTTTATGATGGTTCTGGATCAGTTTCTGGGTGGAATCCTCCCCTGGAACCCTGCCCTGCCCAATCATCCTGCCCTCCCCTGCCCAGGTGATTTGGGGATGGGAACCAGGGTCAGACTCAGCTCTGAGCATCTCCTGGCAGTGCTTCAGGATTTTCCTGCTTATTCTTCAGTGCCTCAAAGGTTAATTTCAGCGTCAGGGGCTGTTGGGTTGTTTTGGGAGGCAGATCCAGTAAGAGAATTGGATTTTTAGAAAGGTATGACTGGAAAGACGATGAAATCATCAACTCTTCTCCCCCCACCTCACCCACCGGAGAATCATTTCCTGCACTCAAGGCTCGAGGGCTGCAGATTGGTTTCACTGCGATTCCCACAACTTCCTTTGGGAGACACTCATCCCAGGGATTTGCAAAGTAACCCCTCTTGGATGACCTGTCATCCCAAAGGGACCCAAACCCGGTCAAGAGGACGGCCACGCACCTCTCCTGGCACCCTGACGCCTGCAAGGAGCTGGCCGTGGCTTACTGCAGCCTGGAGTTCCAGGACAGGAGGAGAGACATCAGCTTTGATTCCTACATCTGGGATATGGGTAAGGGGAGGGGGAAAGCCACGGGTCGATAGCGGAAGCACTTTGTGTCTCGGAGAGAGCGATGGGGCCTCGCAGCTCACGGGGAGGGTCAGCGGGGGGAGCTTTGTGCCATGCAGGAACGGGGAGAAATGGGAGCTGGGAGGTGGGAAATCACCTCTAAAATCCCACTGCATGGCTCCTGAACCACAACAGGCAGCAGAGCCTTGTGCCTTGTACGAGGTTCTTGTCGTGATGGGGTTCAGTTGGGTGGATGAAGGAAGGAAGAGGCAGCAGGAGCCTGGGGTGAGAATTGCCCTGATCCGTCCAAGCCTCGCTCAGACCTGGTTTATTTTGGGGTGGAAAGGACAAAGAAGAGGGGTGGAGATACCAGGGGTCTATCCCCAGGCCAGCTCGCTTCCCTGCCCCATCCCAGTGACCTCATCCAGCACTTCCATGGCAGGGAGTGGGGTGGGATGGGGGGCTAGTTTTGGGGTGCTGCCTTCACCCTTTGCTCTTCACTCATCCCTCCTTGGCAGAAAACCCCTACAAGCCGGAGCTCACCCTCATGCTCTCGTCCCCTGTGGTGACCCTGGAATACAACCCCAAAGACTGGCACCACCTGCTGGGAGGCTGCTACAACGGGCAGACAGGTGAGGGGAATGGGGCAGGTGGGGGCTGATCCAGCAGGAGCCTGGCTCTAGCACTGCTGCACTCACAGGGTGTCATCAGTTAGTGCTGCTATTGGGAATATCCCAGGGGAGCAGGGCCTGGGATGTGGCCACACCTGTGGACAGGTGTGTGCTCACCTGAGAGGGTGCCCAGGGAAGGGAGGACACAGTGCCAGGGAGCCCTTTGCAGCACTGGGGCAGCCATGGCAGGGATGGATGGCTGGATCCAGGGGCTGAGCAGGAAGGGTGCCGTGCTCTCCCCTCTCCCACCACCCTGGATCATCTCCTGGGGGTGGGAAGCGCCTGGGAAGCACCTGGTGAGGTTTGCTCCCTGTTCTGACTTGGGAAGGGGGAAACACATGACAAAGAAAGGAGCTGAGCAAAGGCTTTTCCTTTCCTTCCCAGTGTACTGGGACACCAGGAAAGGGGGGCTGCCCATGGAGATGACCCCTGTGGAGCTCAGCCACAGGGACCCCGTGTATGGAGCCATCTGGCTGCCCTCCAGAACGGGCACCGAGTGCTTCTCAGCCTCCACAGACGGGCAGGTGAGGGGCTGGGGCAGGGCAGGGGCCAGGGCAGGGCAGGGGCCAGGGCAGGGCAAAGGCCAGGGCAGGGCAGGGTGCCAGCTGCTCCTGAAGGGGCCCAAAAGAGCTTCCCCTGCCTGTGCTGCCCCTCAGCAGCACAAGATCCAGGCCCTCCAGGCTGGCACGGGGCAGCTGCTGGGCTCAATTAGCCCTGGGTGAGCAGGAGCAGCCCCCAGAGCCCCCTGCCATGGCCTCTCCCCCACAGGTCCTGTGGTGGGACATCCGCAAGCTGTCCCAGCCCAGCGAGAGGCTGGTCTTGGACATCACCCGGGAAGACCAGCTGAAGAACGCCCTGGGTGCCATCTCCCTGGACTTTTCCATGTCCATGGTCAGTGTCCCTGTGCCCACTGCTCACACCCCAGCCATGGGCACAGCCCAAGGGGCCAGGTTCACGAAGAAGTGGGATGTGCTGCCAAAACACAGGGTCCTGCTGGCACTTCAGTCCCCAGATCCCCCACTGGTGGTGGGTGCATAGCTCTGGCTGCAGCAGGACCCCCTCCATCCTGCTGACAGCTGCTCTCTCCTGCTCCCACCCTCAGCCCACCAAGTTCCTGGTGGGCACAGAGCAGGGCAGTATCATCAACTGCAACCGCGACGCCAAGACCCCACCTGAGAAAATCGCCAACGTCTTCAGTGGCCACATCGGGGCTGTTTATGCCGTGGCCAGGAGCCCCTTCTACCCCAAAGTCTTCCTGTCGGTCGGTGACTGGACCGCTCGCATCTGGTCGGAGGAGAACCTGGACTCGTCATCAATTATGGAGACCAAGTAGGTGTCAGGGTGTGTTTGCTGGGCCAGACGCCATCCCTGGGTGGCAGAGCGTGTTCAGGGGGTGCCAGCGGGGTCTGGTCGGCTCAGGGTGGTGGGACAGGCCGAGGCAGAGCGGTGCCAGCGTGGCTGAGGCGCAGCTCTGCCCACAGGTGCCACATTCCCTACCTGCTGGACGGGTGCTGGAGCCCCGTGAAGCCGGCCGTGTTCTTCACCGCCAAGTCAGACGGGACCCTGGACGTCTGGGACTTCCTCTTCCACCAGAAGGACCCTTCCCTCAGCCTCAAGGTGGGTCCCAGCCCCACCAAGCCCTGAGAGGGGTGCCAGTTTGGCAGACACGAGGCTTTGCCTCTGCCAGCTCAGCCTGCCCAGCTTCCAGGGCCAAGTGCCACCATCCACGTGTCCCCCATCCCCAGGTGAGCAACGATCCCCTCCTCAGCCTGCGCCCACAGGACAACGGGCGCATCATCGGCTGTGGCACCAAGCTGGGCACCGTCACCCTCCTGGAGATCTCCCTGGGGCTCTGCACCCTCCGGAAGAACGAGAAGTCCGTGACCTCCACGGTGTGTGCCAGGCCCCAGCCCAGCCCCCTCACCACGGGCACGGCCCCAGCCCCACACCCAGAGCTCTGCCCACAGCCCTGCGCAGTCCCTGGGCACAGCACGGGGTCCCCTGTGCCCCCCACACGCCTCAGCCCCAAATCCCACCGCAGATGTTCGAGCGGGAGGCGCGGCGGGAGAAGGTCCTGCAGGACAAGCAGCGGGAGCTGCAGGTGCGGGCACAGCTCCTGGCCAAGGCCAAGAAGGAAGAGCAGGAGGATCCCCAGGAGGTGTTCAAGCAGGCCCGTGCAGATTTCTTCAGTGTCATCAAGGCTGAGCGGCAGAGGAGGGGAGACACAGAGTCCCTGTTTGGAGAGGTACCGGGGGTGGGACACGGCGGGCACCGCGGCAGAGACCCCACCGAGGGCAGGGCACAGGGTCAGCCTCTGTCTTTCAGGGTCAAGAAGAGGAGGAGGCTGCGTAGGAATAGGAAAAGGAGGAGGAGGAGAAGGGGGAGGATGCCGAGGTCAGTGCACTCCAGCTTCGCCTTCCTTTCCCCTCTGTGCCAGAGCTGCTGCTCCATGGCTCCTGCAGGGATGAGGCTGCTGGCCCTGAGCTGGGCAGCACTTGTGGGCTCTGTGCCCCCGTGGCTCTGTGCCCCCATGGGCTGGGCCCTGCACAGCCCCCTGGCCCCACGGCTGCTCCCTGGCCCTTGGCATCCTGATTTTCTTTGTGGTGAATAAACCACTGCTTTCTGTGTCACGTTTCCTCTTTTGTCACAGCCGGGTCGAGCAGAGGTTGGGAAAGTCATGTCCTCCTGTTCCTTCTGTCCCCTCCTCAAGCCAGGACATGGCTCAGAGCTGGTGGCTGAGCTTGGCCAAGCACCCATGGCAGCTCAAGGTGTCCCTTGGAGCGTCCCCAGCCCATGGAACAGGGCACAGCAGGATGGCCCGTGGCAGCAGGGGAGTCCTGGTCCCCTCCAGGCTCCCTCCCAGCTGTGCTGCTGAGCACAGCCCGGTGCCCCTGTCGGCTCCATGCCTGCGGGAGCAGCCCCGGCTGGGTTATCGATGCTGGGTAAACACCACCCGGCCGGGAGCGCCCGCAGCCGCCCCCACTCCTCACTCCCGCTAATTAATCATTAACGAGCTGCCAGCAGCGATGTCACAGCGATGGGGACGTGGCCCAGATGGCACCCTGGGGGCTGGGGAGGAGGCCCCCAGCAGTCCCCTCCACTAGGCTCTGCTCAGGGGCTGAACCCACCCGTGGGTGTGCAATGCCAGGGCCAGCTCTCCCCAGGCCAAACCCACCCCAAGGAGGCACCCTTGTCCCCACAGGGAAATGCATCCATGCCAGATAGAGCCACATGGATGCTCAGCACGAGGGGACACAGCCATCCCCCTGCACTGCCAGGTGCTGATGGGGACACCCAGGGATCAGGTGTCTCCACGGGTGTTTTCCTTCCCAGGGGTTCCATCAACACGAGCTGAGCTGACCTGGGTAGCGGTGTCACCCCAAAGAGGCCTCGCACGTCTCCACACTTGTTTTCTGATTTATTAGGAAAGGGGTGGGGTTCCTTGGACAGGGATGGGGCAGCTGCCACTGTTAGCAGGGGTGGTGCCCCCCACCCCTCCTCCACTAGGGGAGGCAGATGGACCCCTCATCCCCAACCCTGGCAGCTCCCAGTTTGCCCCTGAGCTGGATCCAGCTGCCCACACAGAGGGATCCCAGTGCTGCAGGGGTGGCACCACAGGAAGGACGGGCTGTCCCTGTCCCCAGTGGGGTCTGCATTGTGCCCGTGGGCACATGTTGTGCCTCCTACACCCCCTGCCCAGTGCTGGAGGGCCCCCAGCATCCCCCATGCCCAGGGACAGCGATGGGGATGGGACATGGCAGGGGGACACTCGGGGAGGGGCGGGCAGCGCAGAGCACAGCCCCATGGGGCCCAGCTGTCCCTCATTACTTCTTCACCTTGATGAGGGCGTGGTAGACGGGTTTGATGATGATGTGGAGGTGCAGAGAGTTGTCGATGAGGTACTCGGAGGTGCGTTTCTGCAGGTCAGCGTGCGCCAGGAAGTCGGGCGCCTCGTCCGAGCTCTGGTGGAAGCTGTAGGCGTGTTTCACCAGCACCCGGCCCTGCTGCCGCACGCCCACCAGCACCGTCTTCTGGAAGGTGACGCCGGCGAAGTCGGGGCTGCTCATGGCCGGGGTGATGACGAGCCGCGGGCGCCCGTCCTCGATGCGCACGGGCTGGATGGCGCCCGACACCGAGTCCGAGTAGACGGGGCGCAGGCTGACGGGCAGCCAGCGCGGCGAGAACAGCACGTTCCACGTCACCCTCTTGCCGGCGTCGTGGCTGCTGGGGCCCAGCTGCGTCTGGAAGCTGGTGCTGCGGTCGTCCCGCGCCGGGTTGGTGATGACCCACTGGGAGCCCCAGCTGGGCGCGAGGTAGTTGCGGGGCAGGAACATGCTGCAGTTGACGTCGAAGTACTTGGCGAAGTGGAGCGGGGAGGCGGCGTGGAACTGGAACGCCTGGAAGAGCAGGTCCTGCACCGCGCCGCGGTGCCGCGCCAGCACCGCCGACTGCGCCTGCAGCCGGAACAGCTGGCTGGGCGCGATCATGGGGTAGCGGATGGCGCGCAGCACCCGCTCCGCCACGGGCGCCTCGGGCTGCCGGCGGCTCAGCCAGCCCTCCACGGCCGTGTAGAGCTCCAGCTCGCTGTGCAGCACCAGGTCGGAGCGCTCCAGCAGCAGCAGCAGCAGCTCCACGCTCACCGAGCCCCACTCGGCACTGCCCAGCACCGCCGACAGGTTCCAGGCCAGGAACTGGAGGCAGCTCTCCTGCAGCGCCGCGTCCCCGACGCGCACGGCGTAGTGGTACCAGCCCACCACGTGGCCCTGGCTCGACTCGCTGGCCAGGTGGCTCCTCATGTACTCGGCCACGCCGCGCTGCAGGCCCCAGACCCGGTACTTGCTGGCCAGCTGGTGCAGGGGGATGGCCTGGTGCAGCAGGATGGACACCCCCCCGCAGTACAGGTACCTGGGGGCAGTGTGGGCGGTGACCAGGGGATCCCCACTCCAGCAGCGCCATTCCCAGGGGAGCAGCCTCTGTCCTGGGCTGTGCCCCTCTGGGTACCCCCACCCCTTGGGTCCCTGTGGTCCCCAGGGCAGTGTTTCCCCTCCTGGGCTGCATCCTGTGGGATACCCAGGGAAGCATTCCCCCTTCTTGGATGCATCCCTCTGGACATCCCCATCCCACAGTGGCCCATGGTTCCCAGAGGAGCATCCATCTTCTTTGGCTGCATCCCTCCAGGTACGCCCATCCCACAGGACCTCCATGGTCCCCAAGGGAAGATCCTCCCTCCTGGGCTGCATCCCTTTTAACACTGTGTCCCAAAAGGGAAGATCCCCTTTCCTTGGCAGCATCCCTCTGGGCACCCCCATCCCACAGGGTCTCCAGGGGAGCCACATCCTCCCTGAGATCCCCCTCCCACGGGGTCCCCACGCACCTGATGAACTTGTCGAAGAGCGCGGCGGTCTCGGGCGGCTCGTGCAGGGTGACGACGCTCTGGTTGCGCAGGAGGCTCTCGAACACCTCGCTCTGGAGGCTGAGCAGCAGCTGGTGCGTGTGGAACACCTTGGCCTCGTCGGAGGTGGCCGAGCGCACCCGCAGCACCGAGTCGCTGCCGTTCCCGTTCTGCAGCAGCTCCTGCAGCCGCTGCAGCAGCGTCAGCGAGTGGTTGATGGTGGCAGCCGTCGTGTCCCCGCTAAGGTCGGCTTTTTGGGCTGTGGGGAGATGGGATCGTCCCAGTGCTGCACCCCAGGCGGCCCTGGGGACCCAGCTGTGGGGCAGCGTGGGGTTACCTCCTCCTCTGCTCCCCCAGTGCCAAAGGGCTGGTTTGGTGCCGAGGGGGTATGGGAGGACAAAGGGACATGGGGACGTTTGTGTCCTTGAGAGCCAAAAAACTGCCTTCCTGCAGCAGAAGGGCTGAGACCACCATGTCCCAGGCTGGGATGTGCTGGGAAATGGCCGGGTGCCGGTGCTACTGGCTCACAGCCCAGTCTGCCCTGTCCCTGCTGTGGGCGCAGCGAGCCCCGGGCATTGTCACAACCCCCCACATCCCTGATGGATACTCAGGGGCATGGAGAGCCCAGGGCTGTGGGGAGCCAGGCACGCTCTGCCCCTCTCCCGGGGGGGGGGTCCTGTGGTCCAAGCTGCCCTGGGGTCACTGCAGGTCTGTGCTGGGATCCCAGCAGGGACTGGAGAGGGACCTGGGAATGTGGGATGGGGCTCTCCTGAGGGCACAGAGAATCTTTCTCCCTCTCCTCTTCTTCCTCCTGGCACAACTCCCACCCGCTCCTCAGAGCATCCTTCCCCCAGAAGGAATTCGGCCCCATCTGTCTCAAATCCATCTTGCCTCTCAAATCCCATCTTGCCGGCGGATTACCCTTCCCAGTGCCGGCTTAAATCCGGCTGAGCAGGGCTGGGGAAGGGGAGCAGGACCCTGCACCCCACAGTGCTGGGCATCGCTGCCCGCGGCTCCCAGCCCTTCCCTGAGCACAGCCTGGCTCCGAGGGGCACGGCCACGAGGCACAGCACGTCCAGGAGCCACTTCCATCCCTGCCAGGCACCCCGACGGCTGCCGGAGAGCCCGTGGGCACCGTCCCTAGCTGAGCCGCACCCCGGCACCCACCGAGGGAAACAGGAATTCCTGCTCCGTTGCCCTCCCCGCACCGCGGTCGCCCTTACCGGCTTGCACGGTGAGGAGGAGGAGGAGGAAGGCGGCGGCGCAGCCCCAGCGCCGGGCGGCCACGGGCCGGGCGCCCGTCAGCCTGGCCATGGCGTCGCAGGCGCATCTGCCGGCTCTGGCGGGGCGCACGCTGCCCGCCCGGTCCTTATGTAGGACACGCGCCCTCCCGGCCCTCCCAGCCCGCGCCGACACATCGATTGGTGGAAACTGGGACCGGCCGTTGCCAAGGGAACCGCTTCCAGCCTCCCTCCATCCCACCCTGACCCCCGGCCCCGCACCCCGGGGTGCTGCGACGGGGCGCCCCGGCGGGCTGCGGCTCGGCACGGAGATGTCACCATGTGCCTCCTGCTCCTGCCGCCGGCCACGCCGGAGCCCCGCGAGCGGCCCGCGGCCCTTTGTGCCGGCAGCGGGGTCTTTGCATTCAGGGCACAGCTCGGTGGCCTCCCGCTCCCCCGGCTCATGGGTATTCATGCCGGCAGCAGCCCATCACCATGGCATCCGGGCTGCCGGCAGGAACCGCCTGCCCTTTTCCCAGTCTTTGCAGCCAAGAGGCCGCCCGTGCACCCTGGGAGGCCTCCGATGGCCCCTCGCCCACCCTGACACCTCTGGAGGGGCTTCCCTGCGGAGCTGGGGTGGCGTTTGACCCCCAAAGCCCCAGTGCCACGTGCTGGGGTTGGTGCAGCACCAGCACAGGCTGGGGGTGGTGCTGGGTGAGTACCCCACTCTGGCTGGGGCCCTGGTAGCACCAGGCAGTGTGGAACCAGGACTGGGACCCCCAGGTGGGACAGACAGGGGGACAGACCCCACAGGCGGGGGCAGCCCAGCTCACAGGGGCACAGCAGCCCCTTGCCCACAGCCAGGGCTCCCCCAGCACCGTGCTCAGCCCAGACACCCTGCACCAGGTCACCTCGAGGGCAGCTCCTGGAGGAGCCCCATCCCACTGCACAGCTGAGCAGGGATTGGGGCTTATGTGGGAACATGTGGGAGATGGTGAACAAGGGCAGATGTTGCCACAGCTGCAGAGGGGGCAGAAGCAGCATCTGGCCTTGACACACAGGGTGAGGGGCTGGGGGCAAACCACCCAGCCACCCCCCTGCCGTGCTCCCAGGGCTCCCTGTCCCCTCGCAGGGACAGGCAGGTCAGTGATGCTGTACAGGCCGTGGGGCTGAGGCTCCAGCCCAGTGCCCCTGCGGGGCTGGGCACCCCAAAAAGCACGGTGCCAGCAGAGTGCCCAGCCCAGAGGGTGTCCCTTCACTGCAGTGGGGCGAGGGGTGGGGGCCCTGCTGTGGCACAGCCGGTTCACGGCTCACCGCGTCCTCTGACGCCTCATTTCACCCCCGCCTGACAAACAACAGCTTATGGCAGCGTGTGCCCGGCGAGCCGCCGGCACCGTGCCAGCCCCGGGTGTCACCCACAGCCCAGGGAGCCCCTGCGCCCCACAGGGGCATGGAGGGGCACAGGGGGCTGTGGGGCTGCTGTTGGGGGTCACCAGGGGACAGGGGGACATCCCCCAGCCCCCAGTGAGGTGGGGCAACAGCTGTGCCGGCCCGGAGATTGCGGCTGAGGCGGCGCAGGGCTGGCTCACCATAGCGACCCGTGCCAGGCAGCACTGCCAGGGCACCACCCCGCAGGCTGGGGGGCACCAAGGGGGTGGGAGTCTCCTCAGGTAGTGGGCACTCGGGAACAGCCAGGGCAGAGCCCAGCAGGGACACACGGGCAGCACACACGGATTCACAGTCGTGTGCCACTCACATGTCACACCCTGTGCACACACACTGTCCCCAGAGCTGGCCGCTGCCCCTCAACCTGCTTTCCCCCAGACCACCACCCCTATTGCTCCGGGGTGGGGATGAGCTGTGTCACAATCACTCAGAGCTTCCCAGGGGACCCCTTCCCTGGCCCCCGCGGGAGCTGCTGGGCCCAGTGACGTCCCTGTGCCCCGCCAGCCCAGCCCGCGGCTCTGCCCGTGGCTCTGCCCACGCCGCTCTTCCTCCGCCCCGTGCCCCGCACCCCGGGAGGCTGTGACATGCTGAGCGTGCTGGAGGGGACACGGGCACCCACAGGGACACAGGCACGCACAGGGACACGGGCACCAACAGGGACACAGGCTCCAGAGAAGAAACAGCCACCGGTGGGGACACAGACAACAACCGGGAAACAGCCACCCCCAGGGACAGGGACACCAGTGGGAACGCGGACACCGACAGGGACACGGACACTGACAAGGACACAGACACCGACGGGGACGTGGACACTGACAGGGACACAGCCACTGAGTGGGTCACGGGCACCAGTGACTCTCCGGGCCCAGGAAAGGTGGCACCACACGCCCAGCGGGTGGCACCGGGGCCACCGAGGTGAGAGCCCCTGTCCTCAGGGTTTGGGGCGTGGGACCCCGGGCAGGGGGAAAAGGAGGGCCCAGAGCAGACCTGCCCCTGCAGCAGCGCAAAGGGGATCCGGGCTGGGAAAGGGTTAAAGGCGCTCCCGCAGCGGCTGCAGCCGATCGATGTCCCAGTTCCCCGGGGGATGTGGAGGGATGGGACTCGCTCCTGCTGATTAGCCGGAGCTAATTTGAAGTTAATTGGCACCCTCTTGCTTCTGCATCCCCCACTTCATCCCCCGCCGGACTCTGCTCAGGATCGGCTTTCATTCCGGCCCCAGGGGTCACAGGCCGGAGGGGTGGGGCCCCCAGGACCCCTGGGGCACTGCTGGGGGAGCGGATCCATCAGTGGGGGTCCTGGAGAGAGACGTGACCGCCCCCCACGACCCCGGAGCCGTCGTGGGTCTGCGGTGACTGGGACTTGAGCAATCTGGGCCCTGCGTGGCACTGGGAGCGGAGCGGTGCCCAGCACCCCCCACCCCAGCTCAGGCCCCCTTCTGCACCCTCTGGCCTCCGAACCCAGGCCCCCCCCCAGCACCTCCCGACCCCAGGACCACCCAGGGACTTCCCCCACGTCCCCGATCCCGCGGTCCCCCGGGAGATGATAATTTGGGGGGGATTCTGACCAATCAGAAGGCAGCACTCAGCCCTGGTCCCACCATCCCCGGACAGCCCCTCTCTGATTGGGTGAAGCTTCATTCCCCTTATCCAATAGGAGCGCAGGGCTCGGGAGGGGGCGGAGCCTCCCCAGTTATGAATGGGCGAGGGCAGCGCGTGCACGGTCCGGGCACGGGGCGTGGGCAGGGGGATACGGGCAGGGATCGGGCAGGGATCGGGCAGGGAGCGGGCAGAGATAGGGATGCGGATACACATACAGATAGGGATGCGGATACACATACGGATAGGGATGCGGATACAGATAAGGATGCGGGCAGGGCCATGGGCAGGGCCACTGCCAGACACCTCGTGGAGCTTGCTCCGCTTCCTCAGCCTGAGGAGCTGGCAAAGGACAGCGCTGGCAGCCCGGAGATGGCCACTCCCCTTTTGGCAGCGCTGGGATCCCCCCTTTGGCACTTCTGGGTCCTCCCTGTCACCACTGGGACCCGGCGGGTGCGCTCAGCCCGGGCTGGGGGCCAGAGCCTCCCTCCCCTGGCAGATGCCCAAGAACATGGTGTTTTAACCTGGAGTTCTACAAAAAGGGGGCTGGGGGATAAAGAAGGAGCAGCTCTGGCAGTGGGGGCTCCTCCAGGACATGGCACAGGGGGCTCAGGGTTCGTTGGCTCCCATGGGAGCAGCAGCCCCAAGTCTGCCTGGGATGGCACATTTTGGAGCTGCCCACTGTCCATGGATGCTGCAGGACAAGGATCCAGCCCACTGGGGACACTGGTGAGATGGTCCCTGTCCCCCAGCCCCCAGTGCCATGTCATGGCTGACCTCCAGCCCGGGTACCACCAGGATCCTCATCCCCCTGACGCTCCCGTCTCCCCTCACAGCCAGTCCCTGGCAGAAGATGACGGTCCCAGTGCCCAACAGCACGGCGGTGTCGTGGGCTGGTGTGGCAGCACGGCCGGAGGCAGAGCCAGAGCGGTCACCCTGCCTGGTTGGCATTGTCCCCATCGTGTACTACAGTGTCCTGCTGGGGCTGGGGCTGCCAGGTGAGGGGTCTGGGGGGGCAGGGGGGTGCAGGGACAGCACCCACCTGGGTCTGAGCCCCTCTGAGGAGTGCTGAGCTCTGTGCCCTCAGCTGCTGGCAAAGCCTCAGCTTCTGTCCCAGCCTTCCATCAACCCAGGGAGTTTGGGAATGGGGAGGAGAGTCCTCAGGGTGGGGGAACCAAACCTGCCCCCCCCCGCCCCAGCCTCAGATCCGGCCCCAGTGCCCGGCTGTGCTGCCCAGCCCCAGGGCAGGTGCCACCACCACAGGGACAGATGGTATTTGTGTTGCTTGGGCTGACACACAGAAGAGATTAATCAGCTCAGCAAATCCCCACAGCACCGGGATATTTATAGCTCCCCCCAGCTGGAGCCTGGGCACCCCTGGGGTCCCAAGTGCTGCAGGGGGGGGTCTCACCACCACCCATCGCTCCCCTCCCTCCAGTGAACATCCTGACCGCCGTGGCCCTGTCCCGCCTGGCCACCAGGACCAAGAAGTCATCTTACTGGTACCTGCTGGCCCTGACCACCTCCGACATCCTCACCCAGGTCTTCATCATCTTCGTGGGCTTCATCCTGCAGACGGCCATCCTGGCCCGGGCGGTGCCCAGCGCCTTCATCCACACCGTCAACGTGCTGGAGTTCACGGCCAACCACGCCTCCACCTGGGTCACCGTGCTGCTCACCGTGGACCGCTACGTGGCCCTGTGCCACCCTCTGCGCTACCGCGCCGTGTCGTACCCGCAGCGCACGCGCAGGATCATCGCGGCCGTGTTCGCCGCCGCCCTGGCCACCGGCATCCCCTTCTACTGGTGGCTGGACGTGTGGCGCGACGCCGACCCGCCCACGGCGCTGGACACGGCGCTCAAGTGGCTGCACTGCGTCACCATCTACTTCCTGCCCTGCAGCATCTTCCTGGCCACCAACTCCGTCATCATCCTCAAGCTGAAGCGGCGGCGCCGCGCGGGGGGCGGCAAGACCACGGCGCTACTCCTGGCCGTCACCACCGTCTTCGTGGTGCTCTGGGCGCCCCGCACCGTCGTCATGATGTGCCACCTGTACGTGGCCTCGGTGAGGCGGGACTGGCGCGTGCACCTGGCCCTGGACGTCGCCAACATGGTGGCCATGCTCAACACCTCCCTCAACTTCTTCCTCTACTGCTTTGTCAGCCAGACCTTCCGCCGCGCGGTGGGCGAGGTGCTGCGGGGGCACCCCCGCCACGGCCCCCCCCGCCGGGGCAGCGGCCACCTCCCACCCCCGGCCCTCAAACCGCTGGAGCTGATGTCCAGCACCGCGCTCTGAGCCGGGGCGGTGCCCGGCTGGGGGTCCCAGCGCCCACCCAGCCCCACACACGACACCAGGACCTGGGGAGGCCTCCACGGAGCCAGGGGTAGTGCTGATGGTGGCAGGAGGAGGTGGCTGTGCTCAGCCCCTCAGCTGGGGTCATTGGGGTGCCCTACCTGGTGGCAGCACCCCAAGGACCCCTACCCGCTCCCTGAGTCCCATCAGGATGGGCAGCTCAGCCCTATCCCTGTTCAGCCCCTTGGGACACACAGCGTTGGGACCCCCAAGAACTCGTCCAGGACATGACCCAGCTCGTGTCCTGGGCAGCCCAGGGGCACGGCTGTCCGTGGTGAGGGGTGGTGGGCACAGTTGAGCTCCTGTGAGGCCTGCAAGGACATGGTGCCCGCTGGGAGCCTACGGGATGGTCCTTCTGCCATAAACTGCCCTGCTGAGACCAAAACTCTGCCTAGGTCTGGCTCCCTGCAGGCAGATGGAACGGGGAGACCCTGCACCAGCACCCCTGGCACGGGGTCCCTCTGCCCTGCCCACCCTGGTGCCCCCACCCTTCTGCCCGGGGGGTGCTGGAGGGAGCACCCACGAGGTCCAGTGACCCCAGCTGTGGGGCCTGGACACATGGTAAGACCCCAACTCCTGGCCCCTAGCCAGGAACCCCGAGGGGTGTCCCTGCCAGGCTGCAGAGCCCCCAGGGTGCCCCCCAGCACAAGAGTGCAGCATCTCCCACCAGCTGCAGGGGATGGGGCTCACGATGCCCCTCTGCATCGGGTGCCCCCGGTGGCGCCCTCCCAGTTCACCAGTGCCAAGGTGGTGTGACTCTGGGCCCAGCTGCCACCAGAGGGCAGGGATGGGACACTGAGGAGCTGGGACTGCCTGGGGGACAGGAGCTGGGCACCCCCAGCCCCCAAACCAGCCCTGTCCCCACCCTAATTCCCCGTAAGGTCCTTAGTGTAATCCCCCCAAACAGTCCAGGCTTTCTGCTCAGATTCCTGAGACCAGGCAGGACAGATCCTGGGGTGTGCTCAGGGGAGGGAGGGGGCAGGGGCTCAGCTGGCCCTGGCAGGGCACAGAGGCACCCCCAAACCCCACTGACCACCCTGCCCACACCGCCGAGCCCCGGCTGTGCCCACACGTGGCTGGGATGGAGCGCAGCGTTTCCCCCGGGGATGTGGGGCTGACCCACACACGCCCCCACCCTGCCCCCGCACCCAGATCATTCCCGGCATGGACAGACCCCTGCAGGGATGTCACCGCATCCCAGGCCGGACCCGCACCGGGGCACAGGGTTAAAGCCCGAGCCGGTGGCGCGGGGGGTACCTGGGAGGTTCTCGCTCCATTAATTCTGGCACGTGAGGAGAGCAGGACCGGGAAGGGATTAGTTATTAACCCGGCGGGCAGGGGCTGAGGGGCCGCGGGCCGGGGGGCTCGGCTGGCACGGGAACCCGCGGCGGGAGCTCCAGGATTGCCACCGGCGCCCCCGATTTCCACCAGCCCCCCTGTGCCAACCGGTGCGTATTTATTTACTTGGCAAAGGAGGTGGAAATGTGCTGACGGCGTCAGGGGCTCCGGTGGAAGCGGCTCCGAGCCCTGGCCGGGGCTGCGGGAGGCGCTGGGAGGGTGACAGGGACCCCCGGACCCCCCGCTCCAGGTTCCTTCCCGAGGGGTAGCCACCGTGGAGACGGGGCTCAGCCAGCCGTGCCACTGTGCCAGCCGTGCCAGCCGCCCGTCCCTGCGGCTCCCGAGGAAAGGTAAGCCTGGAAAAAATGCGCCCGGCGTGTCGATGTTTTTGGATAGAACCTGGCCAGGGTCCAGGTCCCGGTGCTGAGCGACATCCCAGCCCCTCACTGTGGCCTCTGTGCTGGAAGGACCAGTTCTGCCCAGTCCCACCACTGGGATTGTGGTGCCCAGCCCACCCAGGGCACCAGAAAACTGGGAGCAGGCTCTGCCCGTGCTGGAAGGTCGGTGCCAGGGACCCACAGTCCTGGGAGGGGACACAGGGCAGCAAATCCCAGCACTCGATGACATCACCCCCCACTGACCCCACAGCCTGGTGGGACGTTTCTGTAGGACCTACAAAAACCCCAGGAGCAAACAGTGGGGACTGGAAGCCTGAGAAGGGTCGCTATGGGAAAGGGGAGAGGAAATCATGGTGCTTTTGAGGGGAAAGTTGAGTGTTCCCATGGGAAGGGGGGAGGAAATCATCCACCATGGGAGAATGTGAGGGTTCCCATGGGAAGGGGATGAGGAAATCACCCTTCATGCTGGGGGGGACACAAAGCCGAAGGCAGGGCAGCCCCAGGGCAGCCCCAGCGGGACAGACGCCTGCCGGTGGCCCCACGGGGGGTCACGGGGGTCTCGTGCTGAATCAGCAGCCGGGAAACCCTCCGGAGGAAGGAAGCAGCCAGTGGAGAGGCCGGGCTGCCGGTGTGGGGGCGGCAGGACAGCCGGGCTCTGCTCCCGGCACCGCTGATCCAAGGCTCAGCCTTGCCCGGAGACCGGGCCCTATCCACTCCTGGAGTCTGCACTCCAAATCCCTGGGGGAACGGAGGCACAGGGCCCACTGCAGAGCCCCTCGCTTGTGCTGCTCTGCCCTGAGGGCAGGAAGGGGTGATCCAACCCCAAACACCATCCCAGGCTCCTTAGGAAGAAGGGCAAGAGGGTGTCAGCGGGCGTGGCACTGAGCCTGGACACACCATCCCATCCCCCCTGGCTCCGGTGGGTGCCAGTCCTCGTGCTGTGGGTGCTGCCAGCTCCAGTGGGTGCCAGTTTCTGTGCCACAGATGCTGCCCGCTCTGGCGGGTGCCAGTCCTTGTGCTGGCTCCTGCTCAGCCGCCCTTTCTCCCCGGATTGTTTCCACCCCGGCCTGGATCGGGGCAGGACCCGCCGGAGGCACATTGAACTTTCCTCTGCATCCTTCACCCTCGTGCTTCACCCTCCTGAAATAGCAGCACTGGCCTGGGAACCTCTCCCAGGGGTTCCCAAATCTCCTGGGTCTTTTCCCCATCCCCAGGGTCTGTGGGGTGCCCTGTCCCAGCTCCAGGGATGGATGGGGGGACTGTGGGGTGCCCCATCCCAGCTTCAGGGCCACAACCACCCCCATCAGGACAGGGACCACCGAGCCCTGCCGGTGCCCCCAGGCTGGGGCTGCCCTGGCCCCAAGCCCTCTGCAGGAAAGGCTTTTCCGGGGCTTTTCTGGGGTTTTTGGGTCCCGCTGTCCTGCCAAGGGCTCCGGCTTTATCCGTCAGCTGACATTCCTCCGGGAGGCCCCTCCAGGCCTGTGTATCCTCACACAGCAGGGCTGCCTGCAGAGCCCCGCTCCCGGCTCCCACCCCCGAGCCCACCGGAGGCCGGTGCAGGGCCCCGTGTGGGTGACACAACCTCTCCCACTCTGTCCCTTGTCCCTTGAGAATCAATCCTAGCGGGCAGCGCTCAGCAGAGACGGGCTGAGACTCCCCCCAGACTCATCCCACTGCTGACAGAGACACCTCCCCCCTGCACACACACAGACTCATCACAGCGATGACCAGGTGGGCTCCCTCCTGCTCCAACCCCCCAGCCCGGGCTGTGCTCCCGCCCCCAGCCCCTCCATGCTCCGGGGCGGGATCCCGGTGCCCCCGCCCGGTGCGGCGGGGCAGGTCCCGGCCGGCCCCGACCGCGCTCCTGGGGCTGAGCCGCACCTCGGGGAGGGGCCGGGCCGGGCAGGCGCACGGTGCGGCGGCACCGGGGCTGGCTCGGCTCGGCTCGGCACGGGGGGAGCGGAGCGGAGCGGTGGCCACCGGGGGCTGCGGCCGGTGAGCGGGGCCGGGGCGGGGACGAGCCCTGCGGGGCTGGGGGGCACCGGGAACCGCGACGGGAAGCGACCGGGACCCGTCCGCCCCCTCAGCTCCTCCGGCCGGAGGGTCGGGGGCGGCTCAGGCGGAGTTTCGGCGCCAGGAGCGGGCGGGAGCTCCGGGAAACACCGGGACGGTGCGGGATGGGCGGGCGGGGGGAGCGTGCCGCGGGAACCGGGGAGAGGGCGCGGGGGAGCGGGACAAGAGTGCGGGGAGAGCGAGTGGGAGCTGCAGGAGGAGCTGGGCTGGGAGCGCGGGGGAGCCGGACCGGGGGTGCGGGGGTGCGGGCGGAGCCGGTCCGAGCCGCGGGCACGGGGACTCCGTCCGACTGTGGTACGGATGTCCCTGTCCCCAGCCCGAGGCCCGAGGGGTGCCCAGTTTGGGGTGCCCCTCGGAGAGCAAGGGGTCCTGGCCCCGGAGTCACCTTGCCGGGGGTCTCCTCCCCGTTTCTTCCCCCCAGCAGTGGGGCTGCAGCTTCTCTGCTGCCTCCTCTTCCCTGTGCCCACTCCTGAGTGGCAGCAGTGGGGACAGTCACCAGGACCCCGTGCCGTGCCAGGCTGTGCCGTGCCGTGCCATGCCAGGCTGCGGCTGCCTACGTGCCAGCGGGCCAGACACGCGACCTGCACTGGGCCAGTGCCCAGAGCCAGAGGAGGGAAGCAGGACAGGAGAAGTGGAAAGAGGAACGTGGTGGCAGCTAGGGATAAGGCAAGGGGTCAGCCCTGTCCTGCAGTATCACCTCTGCCATCCAGCCTGGGCCCACATTCGGTGTTCCCGGGAAGCCAGCGGGCACAGTGCTGCCTGCTCCTGGCACCGGTGTCAGGGATGGGCACAGCCCCAGAGAATTCCCGTGTCAGGAGGGAACATGTGGGGCACAGAGATCTCCCCTCAGCTGCCACCAACCTCCAGGCAAGGAGTCGATGGGGAACACGTGGCTGCCTGGCCCCATCTGGAGCTCCCTGGCCTCGCTGGGGTGGGCTCAGCTGTGCCAGCACACTCAGGGCTCCCTGGGACCTCACTGCTCGCCGTGGGATGGCTTGGGGGGGGCTGTGGGCAGGGATGCTCCGAGCCAGGAGCTGATCTGTGTCTCTGGTCACCGTGCCCTGACCGCGCTGTGTCCCGCAGGGTCCCTGGGTGCCGCGGTGCAGGATGGAGCCCGCGGCCGTGCTGCTGGCCCTGCTCCCCACGGCGGCCACACAGCCCACCCTGCAGCCCACCCCGCCCCCGGGCTGCGGCCACGGCCTCTCCTCCCTCTACTACAACCTCTGCGACCTCTCGGCGGGCTGGGGCATCGCGGTGGAGGCGGTGGCCAGTCTCGGCGTGGTGACCACCTTCGTGCTCACCATCGTGCTGGTGGCCAGCCTGCCCTTCGTGCAGGACCCCCAGAAGAAGAGCCTGGTGGCCACGCAGGTCTTCTTCCTCCTGGGCACCTTCGGGTTGTTCTGCCTGACCTTTGACTTCGTCGTGGGGCCGGATTTCTCCACCTGCACCTCCCGCCGCTTCCTCTTCGGTGTCCTCTTCGGGATCTGCTTCTCCTGCCTGCTGGCGCACGCCATGGCCCTCAACTTCCTGGCGCGGCGGAACCGCGCGCCGCGGGGCTGGGTGACGCTGGCGGTGGCCCTGTCCCTCGCCTCGGTGGAGGTCATCATCAACACCGAGTGGCTGCTCATCACGGTGGCGCGGCAGGAGGGCCCCCCGGACCCCTGCCAGCTGGCGGACGCCGACTTCGTCATGGCGCTCATCTACGTCATGTTCCTGCTGGTGGCCACCTTCGGCGCGGCCTGGCCGGCCCTCTGCGGCCGCTACGGCCGCTGGCACAAGCACGGCGCCTTCATCCTGGCCACCACCGGCCTCTCCGTGGCCATCTGGTTGGCGTGGACCGTCATGTACCTCTACGGGAACCGGCGCGCCGGCCACAAGCCCGGCTGGGATGACCCCACGTTGGCCATCGCGCTGGTCAGCAACGCCTGCGCCTTCCTCCTGCTCTACGTCATCCCCGAGGTGACGCACGTGACGCGGCGCAGCCCCGAGCAGGCCTTTGAGGACGACGGCTACCCCACGCGCGGGGTGGGCTACGAGACCATCCTGAAGGAGCAGAAGTCCCAGAGCATGTTCGTGGAGAACAAAGCCTTCTCCATGGACGAGCCCTCCTTCGGTGGGTGCTGGGGCTCACGGGGACCCTCCTTCCCCGTGGTGGGCTGGTGGGCACCAGGGATCCTCATCAGGGACCCTCTCACACCGTGGCAGGGCTGCTGGTGGACACTGGGGCTCGCCAGGGACCCTCTTGCCCCATGGTAGAGCTGCCAACAGGCACCGGGGACCCTCACGTGTGGGGACCCTCAGGGATGTCCCCACTGGGGGTGGCAGCAGTGGGTGGGTGATGAGCTGTCTGGCGGTGACCTGCCAAGGACTGACGCCTGTTGTGGTTCCCGAGAACTGGCCGGGCTGGGCCTACCAGTTTGGGCTGAGCCCAGCAGGCGCTGGGTGCTCCCTCCCCGGCGTGGGGTGCCCGCGGCTCCCGGCCCTCTGCCCCGGGCACACGCTGCACTCGCGAGACCCTACAATAACATGGGGTGGTGACAGCCTCCCCAGTGGGCATCGCAGGTGGGCACCAGGTGTCTGCACCCCACAGGGCAGGGAGGGTCCCCCTGAGCAGCACCTGCACGCGAGAGACCCTACAATAACAAACCGCAGCCAGGCAGGGGCTGCGCCAGGATCGCGGCAGTGCCAACCCTGGTGACAGGAGTGTCCCCTGGGAAAGGCACAGAGCTGCTGAGTCAGCTCATTAAACTCGCTAACGAGGCACCGGGAGCCCCGGTGGGCGGGGGTGGCTCCGTGGTGACCGTCCCTGTGTCTCGGCAGCCAAGAAACCGGTGTCCCCGTACAGCGGCTACAACGGGCAGCTGCTCACCAGCGTGTACCAGCCCACCGAGATGGCTCTGATGCACAAGGGCATGGTGAGTGTGACACCAGCTGGCACTGGGGGCAGCCACATCGGGTTTCCAACCGGGATGGGGGACAGGGTGTGAGGGAATAGGGGCCACCATGACCCCCGTGTCCCAGTGGCTGCTGTAACGGGCTGGGGACCCTCTGAGCCTTCCTCCCCCGGGACCCTGCAGAGCTGGGGGTGTTCCCAGTGCGGTGACACCCCCTGTGTCTGTCCCCCAGAGTGAAGGTCCCTATGATGTGATCCTACCCCGCGCCTCCACCAGCCCGGCACCCGGCAGTGCCAGCTCCACGCTCCGAGCCGAGGACGCCTTCGCGGCACAGGCCCGGCACATCGGCACCCCCGGGACACCCGGAGCTTCCAGGTGGGTGAACAGCAGTGGGCACCCGGCCATGGCAGGGGCAAAGTCTGCCTGCTGTGGTGATGGCTCTGCCCAGCACCCAGAGCCCCCCGGTGGGTCAGGGTGCACGTGGCACCAGGGCAGGAGCCACGGTCCTGGCGCCACGGCTGTGCCACCCCGCTCTGCCCGCAGGTGCAGTCCCCGTACAGCAGGAACCGGTGGTGAAGCCCCCGTGGCACAGGTCCTGCAGCCCTGGCACAGCCGCCACCCCTCCGTCCTGCTCCCGAGGTCTCGCCAAGCCTCATCCTGCCCTGACACGTGAATCCCACCCCGGCCAGCAGCCAGAGCCAGTTCCTGCCAACGGGATGCCCGGATACGGCCCCAGAGCCAGCGCTCCCACCTGCCCGTCCCACCTGGCCATGGCACCCGCAAGCCGCCCGCTCTGCCCGGACCCCACGGCCTGCCTCAAGGACTGGCTCCCATGGGGACACCCCAAGTTGTCCCCCCACTGCCTTTGTGACGCACAGACACCCCGTCCCCCCCAGGCCATGGACCCTCTGAAGCCGGGGAGCCAGTGGGACCCCCACCCAGGGCACCCCCGGCACCAAGCCCCCAGCTCCACGGTGACCCCACCAGCCCTGGGGACCCTGAGCTGGTCTGGCCCCCTCCCACCACGGGGTGTGAGGGGACACAAAGCTGTCCCCAGCTCTGCCTCCTGCCCTGCCTCAGTGTCCCCACTGCTGGGGAAGGGAGGCTGCTGGGGGCCCAGGGGATCAGTGCCTTGCTGGGGCCCCACAGTCCCAGCCGCCTCCTTGGTGCCTTCCCCCCTCAGGGCTCGGGGACCCTTCTGGGTTGTGGGGAGGGGGCTGGGCCCCTCGCCCTCCCTGTGGCTTTCTCTGTCATTTTTCCTCTCCCCCGTTTTTTTTCAGGTCACCCCAATAAAGGTGGTTTTTCCTACAGTGCTGTCACAGGTGGCCCATGATTGGAGGCGTCCCCAGGTGTGCCACTGCTCCCCCATTCCTGATCCCACCGCAGTGCCTTTGGACTCAGTGCCATGTTCCCCTTTTGGGGGCTCACAGGGAGCAAGGGGGGGCTCAGGGCAGGGCCCTCAGCACCCCCAGCCCTCCCAGATGGGGCGGCTGGGCTGGAATCCCGAGGGCAGATGGGCTGCCGGGCGGGAGGCAGCGCAGCACGGAGGACGTGCCAAGGTCAGGGCGGTTTTCCCGCTCAGATTGCCTTCCCCTCCACAGCCATTCCTCCTCCTCTGGGCAGGAAGCCTGTGGCCATCAGTGCCATGAATTATTCAGGGCTGGAATGGCTCTGTGGGGGCAGGAGGGTGACCTGCTCTCCTTGAGCTGGAGCTGGGATGGTGGTGGAGGGGCTGCCAGCGGGCACGTGTGCCCTGCACGGGTGTGCCCGCACAAGGGGACACGGCAGGAGCGCGGCACATGCCATGTCCCCAGCGTGCCCTTGGCTGGCACACGCCCACGCTCCCGGCTTCAGAGACACAGCCGTGGGAGGCGGGTGTTTGCAGCGGGATGTGGCCGTGCCCCCCGGGGCACCCGTGTTTACCTGGCTCCCGTGTTTACCTGGCTCCCGTGTTTACCTAGCACCTGTGTTTACCTGTCACCCGTGTTTACCTGGCGCCAGGTGGCAGAAGGGACATCGCCCAGCAGCGCCAGGCACTCGGTGTCCCCAGGGCCACCATCACCGCAGTGCTCCCTCCTGCCAGCCACTGGCACATGGCAGAGCAGGGTCCAGCGTGTGACACCCCAACAAATGCACGTCCACCTTCCTGGGGGCGCAGCAGTGACACCCGAAAAGCAGGGTGGTAGAGACTGTCCCTGCCGGTGGCTCCCTCCCATGCCCAGCCCCTCCGGAAGCGCGGGATCCCACCGGTGCCGCCAGCGCCGGCCGCAGCCCCGCTCCAACAGGGAATGCTTTGTGCCGGCGGGGCCACGGAACAGCGGGGCCTTTGTGCGGGCAGGTGAGGGCAGACACGGCTGCGCCGCGCCAGGAGCAGCCCCGGAGCCTCCCTGGGGCCCGGAGCCGGGGGCACTGTGGATGGGGCGGGTGGCACAGGGTGGGGGTGGGTGCAGTGGTGAGGACGCAGCAGCACACCTGGCACTGGGGTCATCGGGGTGTGCCAGGGCCAGGGGGGACACAGGCAGCAGTGCTGAGGGCAGGGGTGGCACAGGCCGCAGTCCAGGGGCTCCACAGTGCCGTGAGCGGTGACAACACAGGGAAGTGACCCTGTGCAGGTGAGCCCTGGGGGATGCTCCATGTCCTCAGCACTGCCTCTCTTTCGTCCCACTGAGGACTGGAGCTGGAGGGGTCATGGCCAGGCACTGGGGTCTCCTCAAGGCTGAGCAACAAGGGTCCTGGCCTCGCCAGAGGGTCCTGTCACCTCGCCCAGCCTGCGGTGACAGTGACACGCCTGGCACTGCCATCTGCCTGCACAGTAGTGTCCCTAAGGAACCCGGGCAGGGTGGGAGCACAGACACGCTCATGCCATCAGCTTCCACCGGCATTTTTACTCCAAGTAGGTCCATGGCACCGCAGAGACCCCACTCTGGGCAGTCTGTGTGTCCCAGGGCTCGGCAGCAACACGAGAGCATCCCGACAATGTCCCCTGCGAGTCCCGGGGTCCCTGCAGAGGGATCAGCAAAGCGCAGCCTCTGCGGGTGGGCTCAGTGCGGGGCCCTGTGCCCGGCCTGGGAACGCTCCCGCTGGAGCTGTTTCCGCCTCTGGATGTCCCTGTAGGCCTGGATGACCCGCGCCCGCTCCTCCTCCAGGATGCGCCAGCGAGCCATGGACATCACCGGGGACGCGGGGGACGCAGGGGACACCTGGCTCCGGCCCAGCCGAGGCGTCAGGAGGAGCTGCTTCCGTCCAGCCTGCGGGCAGAGCAGCACAGGATGAAGGACGAGACAGCAGGACCACGCTGCCAGGAGCTGTCACTGAGGAGACCCCAGCCCCGCGGGTAGCCAGGTGGCACTGTCCCCCAGAGCTCACCTGCTCGGCAGGGCCCTGTCCCCGGGGCCGCGAGGTGATGGTGGGTGGCTGTGTCACCACCTCCCCGAACGCCACCGTGTCTGTGAGGGAACCAGAGCCAGAGTCAGGTCCCTCCAGGATGTGCCAATCCAGCTCCCCACTCCCCTCCATGTGCTGCCTCCCCAGGGTTGGGGGTCACTTCAGCCCCACCTTGGAACAGGCTCTTCTCCAGCATGTCCTCCTTCTTCTCCTCTTTCTTCTTCCGAGCTTTTTCCAGCTTCTTTCTCTGAAACCTGAGGAGCCTCGTTATGCCCGGGGCTCGGGAACAAGGAGGTGAGTCCCTACCCCACAGAAGTCCCCCAAATCCCACAGCTCTCCCTCCAGGAGGGTGAAGCAGGCTTGTGGCTCCATTCCCAGAGATCCAAATCCATGGAGAGCCCCCCACCTGCCCCACCAGCTGCTGCCAACACCAGACCTGCCCTGTCGAAGCGAGCAGCGGGACAGGTCACAGCCCTGGGCTGGCCCTGTCCAGCCCCCATGGCCTTGCTCTCACTCTTTTTTCCTCTGGGACTTCTCTGGAGCCGTGTCCTCCCGCTCAGGCTCCCGCTGGAGCTGGTTCTCGGCGAGGAACAGGACGTGCTGCACCTCCTGCTCCATGCGGCAGATGTAGGAGTGCTCCGACTCCCCCTTCCCCCTCCGGAACCTGGGCACCGGGATGGCTCCCTTGGATTTGGGCACCGGGATGGCCCCCTTGGATTTGGGCTTCTGCTGCTGCTTCTTCTCTAGGAGAGACGGGGGATGTTACTGGAGCAGTGACAGCCCAGAGCCCCTCCTGCTGCCAGGGCAGGGCTGGGACATCACCAGAGGGAGGAGGAGGGTCCATGGCAGGATCCAGCTGTGCCATGGGCTCCTGGGACAGGCCCTGGGCCACCTGCTCGGGCCATCTCCGTGTCCCACCTGCTGCCCTCCTCTTCCCAGGGCCCAGGCGCTTCATGGCCTCGCGGCTCTGCATGAGCTCCCGCAGGCGGAACGGGATCTCCTGCTCCTCGGGGTGCTTGGGCTTCATGTTGTCCACCTTCCTCTCCTTCCTGCAGGGAATGAGCACAGTGAGAGGCCTGCAGGGAAGCACCGGGACCTGGAGGCTGGGACAGCGGGATCTGGAGGATGGAATCCCAAGACACAGGCACTGGGACACCGGGACGGTGGGACCTGGACACTGAGACATGGGACCTGGGCATGGCAGGACACCAGGATCCAGGTACGGAAGGACATCAGGACTTGGGTACAGCAGGATACTGGAACCCAGGCATGGGGAGAGATCAGGACCAGCCACGGGGAGACATCGGGACCCGGGCACAGGGAGAGACCAGGACCCAGGCTCTGAGAATAGAACGCCCGAGACACCCCTGAGTCCATGTCCCCAAACGGGAGCGAGCCAGGCACGATCCCGACCGGATCCCGAGTGCACTGACCTGCTGCGCCGCGGGACGGCCTGTCCATGTTCCGATTTCGGTCCCGCTTTCTGTCCCGCTCCCGGTTTCTGTCCTGGTCTCTGTCCCTGTCCCGGCTTCTGTCCCGGTCCCGGTTTCTGTCCCTGTCCTGGTCCCCGGCCCTGTTTCTGCCCCGATCCCGGTCTCTGTCCCCGTTTGGGTGCCGGTCTCTGCCGCGGTCCCCGGGCGGGTCCCGGTGCCGGTGCCCGCGCCATGTCCCTGCCGCTCCTCACGTGGCCGCTCCCCCGCCCCTTCCGAATTTGCAGCCCCGCCCCCTGCTCCTTATTGGTCTCTCCCACCCCTTAACTCCCGCCCCATTGTCCATACCGGGCTCCTATTGGCTGAGGGAGCTGTCACTCGGGCAGGGGGCGGGGCCGGATGCTGCTGCGGGGGGCGCGGGGCCTGGCGGGGCCGCATCGGGGGGTGAGGGGGACAGGGGGACACGGGGGATACGGCGGGTCCGGGTGAGGGGGACAGGGGGACACGGCGGGTCCGGGGAGCGACAAGAGGGTGCTGGGGGTGAGGTGTGGGGGACACGGGGGTGCTGGACCATCAGGAGGGTGCTGCGGATGGGGTGGAGGCTGAGGAGGGGAAAAGATGGGGATGGAGGTGGGTGGGGGCTGAGGAGGGACAAAGGGGTGTTGGGACGAGGGGGCTGTGGGAAGAGCAAGGGGTTGCTGGGGATGGGGTGGAGGGCTGGGGATTAGGGGAAGATATGGGGGTGCTGAGAGGGGCCAGGGGGAGCTACTGGGGTGGTGGGAGGGGGGTCCCGGGGCTGGGTTGGGGGTGCAGCAGCCAGGGCTGTCCCCCCTCCGTGTCACCCAGACTGGCATGAGCAGGGGGGGGTCTTGTTCTTGCAGCCCCCAAACAGCACCAGGGGGGTGCCCAGAGAAAGGACCCCACGCCCCCACCCCCCCAACACCTCCAGCCTCCGCCAGCTCTCGGACACGCCAGGAAAGGGCAGCAGCTCCTCGGACACCCCAGGGAGGGACAGCAGCACAGATACCCCCGGAGGCAATGGGGGGGTCCCTCCTGCAGACCCCGCACTGCCCCCCCCGCCCACGCACTGCTGCGGGACCGGCTGCCCCAACTGCGTGTGGGTGGGGTACGTGGAGGAGCTGCTGCAGCGGCACCAGGACGGGGGGACCCGGGCCCTGGAGGCCGTGGAGCAGCACGTGGAGGATGAGAACATCAAAATGATCCTCAGGATGGAGATCAGGCTGCGCTCCAAGAAAGACTGAGACCCCCCCACCCAGGTCCCCCAAACCAGTGGGGGACACCCCCGGGGCCGCCGCTCTGGACTGGGTGGAGGGATCTGGGCTGGGATCGTTTATGGTGTTTGTTGGTGTGTGCTGAGCACGGGATCCCAAGGGTGTCACTCCAGGCCATGTCACCTCCTGCCACAGAGGATGCTGCCCTTGGGGACAGGCAGCAGCTCAGGCCTGTCCTGAGCCCTGGATTTCCCGGGAGCTGGATGTTTTCCCCCCCCGGGATGGCAAATCCCTGCCAAGGGCAGGCTGGGGCGGCCCCTCACACCCAGCCCTCCTCCTCCTCACACTCCTGGATGGAATTAAAGCACCTTGAGGGGATTTTCAGCACCTTGGCCGTGCCCTGGTGATGTAGGGAGCCGGGGGGGCTGTGCTGGACCCCTCCCCGTAAGCCTCTTAGGGGCTGCTCCGTGGGAAGGGCTCGTGAGGGGCAGCGTGTGGCCCCGAGCACGTGGGAAGCAGCAACCTCATGTCGAGGACACTGTCCCTGGTGTCACATCCTGCTCTCCATGGTGCCTTTCCTTCCTTGATTCCTTCTGCCTCCATCTTCAAACCCCATAAACTTGGTACAACACCCCTCCCCCCCATCCTGAGGGACTCACAGCCAGCAGGACCCCCATGGACCCCCCCATCATCCCAGGATGAGCTTCCCAAGGGCCCACCGAGCACTTGAGTGTCACCCACTAATGAACCCAAATTAACAGACAGGCCCTACTCTCTGCCAGGGAAGTGCCTGGTTCTCCATGGAAAACACTCCTGGATCCCCTCTAATCCCATTTGCTGGAGCCCAACTAATTGCAATTAGTGGCAGGGGCTGAAGTTCAATTAAAGTGTGCTGAGATTATTCTGTTTTTAATTGCTTTAGTGCTGGATTAGGGAAGCTTTGGAGCGACACCGGCCGTGGGCAGGGGCTGCCGGACCCTCTCCGGCCGGGTCGTGTCCTGTGGTGGCACCGGCAGGGGTGGTGCTGGGAGGGCACCTCCTGTGCCAGGACCCTCACCTGGGCCGGGAGGGAGACTGGGATTGGGGTGCCATCCCTCCTACTGGGATCGAGGGGCACTGAGGGAGTCTCTTGGGGAATGGGGGATCCCCCAGGAGAGGAGTCAGGATCACCCTGTGTGGGATCTGCCACCCGGCTGGGCACGGCCTGTCCCAGTGGGACTAATCCCGACACCCCCTCACCATCCAGGGCAGGGGAAGGACACTGGATTACCCCTTGGGAGAGAAGGGAGGTAAATAATCCTATTACCCCTGGGCAGGATAAATCTCCCTCCCGAAAAGCCCCCCAGAGCATCTCCGGGCTGTGGGACGGAAGGAGCGGCGCTGGCCTCGGGAACCGCGGGACTGTGTGAGTCGGGGGTTCCTGGGATGGGACGGGACACGGGGCTGCTTTGCTGCTACTCCTGTGTTCAGGAACATCATTCAGGAACACCCAGGCATCTCCCTGGGTCAGATCCTCCTTCCCAGGCCTGTGCCCAGCTCCTGAGCTCTGCAGCGGGGCTGAACCCCTTGTGCCAGAGCCAGGTCTTGAGCTGCAGAATTCCTGCTCCTGGTGCCTGGCAGAGGGATGGAGCCCATGGGGCATCCTCTGCTCCCCCTGCCCAGCCTGGGGTGCCCACCACGCCCAAACCATGCTGCTGCCCACCGCAGCACAGACCTCGAGGTGAGCTGGGGGGGTGTCCTGGCAGTTCCATGGGGGGTCCCACGTGTCAAATCCATGCTGGGATGGGGTGCACGGGATGAAGGAACAGTCCCAGAGGTGGCAGCAAGTCTGGTGCCCCCCATGACGCCCTTCCCTGCCTTAGAGAAAGGGGATTAGCGGGATGAGCTGGGCTGAGTCAGCACTGAGGGGAAGGGGCTCCGCAGAGCCAACTGGGAACAGGGTGGGAATGGGGGCACGGGGTGGAAGGAGAAGCTGGTGCCCCCATTCCCCCTCCAGCAGGTGTGAGGAGCTGTCCCGCGGCAGGGCCGGATCCGCAGGGAACGCCGTGAGCCCGGGCTGGCTGCCAGCCCCCCCCAGCCATGAGCCTGGAGCCCCCCAAGCTGGAGGTGAAATCGGCCACGAGGGTGACCGGGGGTCCCGCCACCCCCCGCAAGGGACCCCCCAAGTTCAAGCAGAGGCAGACGAGGCAGTTCAAAAGCAAACCCCCCAAAAAGGGGGTGCAGGGGTGAGTGGGGACAGGCCCTGGGGCGGTGGGGGGGGTCTGCCTGGGGGTCAGGCCAGACAATCCCTCTCTCCCTGCAGGTTTGGTGACGACATCCCAGGCATGGAAGGGCTGGGAACAGGTATGGGGGTCCCATCCCCTCCTTGGCAGGGGAGGGTCAGGGGCTGGGAGGGGGGGTTACAGTACCACAACCTCTGTCCTCTCCTCCCCCCAGACATCACCGTCATCTGTCCCTGGGAAGCTTTCAGCCACCTGGAGCTGCACGAGCTGGCTCAGTACGGCATCATCTAGGACTGGGGCAGGCCTGGCTGGGTCACTCCGTAGTGCTGTGTAGGTAGAGGCTGCTCCATCTGTACAGTGGGGCTCTGCTTGGAAAAATTAAATCCTGAAACCCCAAACGAGCACAGGAGCTGTGTCACCATTTGTGGGGCTGGGGGGAAAGTGTCTCCCCATGGCATGGGGGGGGACGAACAAGACAGAGGTGGGGTTCAGGTGAATGGAAGGGTTTATTGTGGGCTGGGCCAGCCCCCCACATATCCCTAAATCCCCAGTGTCACATTGACCCTGAATACCCTTAATGGCCGTGCTGGTGGAGATGGGGGGATGGACTGGACATGGATGTGTTCAGGCATCTGACAAGGTTTATTTGAGGTTGGACCAGGCCCCCACATATCCCAAACCCCCTGATGCCCTCACTGCCACACCCAGAAAGCCACCATGTCCCTGAGTGCCCCTCAGTGCCATGGAGCCTCCCACAGCCTCCACCAGGGCGGCCACGCCAGCAAGATGAACAAGGACAGGGACAGGTTCAGGATTCTGACACGGTCCATTTTGGGCTGGACTAGCCCCCCCCCCCACATTCCCAAACCCCCCAGCATGCCCCACCCCTCATCCCCACACCCGGAAAGCCGCCACATCCCCCAGCACCCTCAGTGCCATGAGGGCACCCACGGCCTCCACCAGCACCAGGGCGGCGGCGCCGGCGGCGATGGCCCCGGCCTGGCCCCTCAGCCACGCGCCCAGAGCTGTCCCACAGCCCCCCACGTGCACCACGGCCCCCGCCGCTGCCGGCCCCAGCGCCAGAGCCCCGAAGCCGCACTGGGCGTTGGGCACGGAGCCGCTCTCCAGAGGGTCCTGGCAGCACGAGGCCGGCACGCCACACGCCTGTGCCCCCGGCGCGCTGCAGTTGAAGTACCTGTGGGGTGGACATGGGCACATGTGGGTCCACACACATCTGGGGGGGCAGGGATGGGGTCTCCCCGTGCCCCCCAGACACAGAGCTGGACACCAGCTACGGGTCCTGGCTCATCCCTCTCTTTCACGCCCTGTTGCGGGGCTCCCACCACCCCAAACGTGAGTCCCCAGCACAGACCCCATAACGAACAGGGTGGGTTTTCAGCCCCGTGGCAGGGATGGTGTCCCACACGAGCAGAGGGTTTTCAGCCCCGTGGAAGGAACGGTCTCGCCCAGCTCACCCCACAGCCCCCACTCACGCGTTGCTCTCCCAGTCACGGTAGGACCCGAGGCCGCAGCACTGGAGGCTCCTCTGCACCTCGTCCACCAGGAACTGCAGGTCAGGATCATCCTGGTAGCGCAGGAGGCAGAGCAGCAGCAGGTCCCTCAGCCCGTCCCGCAGCCGCCGCCGCGCCAGCAGCACCAGCAGCCCCCCCAGCACCTCCAGCCCCGCCAGAGCCAGCAGGGCCCCCAGGAAGGAGCGGAGCAGGCAGGGGCTGGCACGGAGGGCGCCCAGGCAGCCGGCCAGGGACACGGCGCTGGCCCCCAGCCCCCCCAGCACGAAGAGCA